ATAAGCCCCCACTTTTTTTTTTTGTCCTGCCAACATTTCCCAAGGCACTGTATAAAAATGTGAAAGTTATGGGCCCAATCCTCTTGGAAGCTGTCCTGTAGAGTCTCTATTGATTGCAGAGGTATCATTCATTTTAGAGGGGGCTGTGCAGGAGAAGGCCAAAGGTGGACAAACTACCCCAGAAGGAGCACAACAGAGGCTGTGTGTGTGTGTTGTGTTATATATACAGTGGTACCTTGGTTCTCAAATGCCTTGGTACTCAAACAACTTGGAACCCAAACACTGCAAACCTGGAAGTGTTTGCCAACTTTTTTCGGAAGCCAAACATGCTCTGTTTTGAGTTTTACACTTTCGATTTGAGTGCCACACTTCGGTTTTGAGTGTTAAGCTGAGGTTATTAATTTTGCGTTTTTGTTTTTGCGGCTCTTTTGTGTGTGTGACTGTGTGGAACCCAGTTCAGCTACTGATTGACTGTGTGATTGCAGTACATTGTTTATTGCTTTCATTTTATGGAACAATGGTCTTGTTAGATAGTAAAAGTCATGTTAAATTGCTGTTTTTGGGGTTGTTTTTAAAAGTCTGGAATGGATTAATCCATTTTGAGTTACTTTCTATGGGAAAGCATGCCTTGGTTTTGGAATGCTTTGGTTTTGGAACGGACTTCCGGAATGGATTAAGTTAAAGAACCAAGGTACCCCTGTATATATAACATTATATATTGTTGCTATTTATTTTCTTTTGCAATATGGCCATTTACTCAATACGCAAATGATAATGGTCTTCAAGACAAACTATTCAGAGCATCGTTGCTAGTGCGAACAGCACGGTCTGAACTGCACACATTATTATTATTGCCATCTATGACAGATAAGACGATTTCTGTGCTGCTGTCCCCAGGACTTCACATGCTTGACTTTTGCAGAATCTGTACGGATTGATTAAAGCATAAAACAAAACAAAAAACCCAGTTACCTTAATGTATATATAACCTGATACCTAATGAGGAGTGGGGGCAGAGAGATTAGAGATGTTATTGCTATATGCTTGTCACACAAAAGCCTGTGAAATTTATTTTAAAAATAAAATATAATAATAATTGCAACAATATATTATGTGTGTATATATATATATAGAGAGAGAGAACACATAATATATTGTTGCAATTGTTGTATATACACACACACATATACACACACACATATTTCCAGAATTTGAAACGAGGACGTGGACGAGCAAAGAGGATTAAACCCCCAGCAGATGCCTCCTCCCTCCCCATGATAGCTGTCAACGTTTCCCTTTTATTAAGGGAACTTCCCTTATTCCGAATAGGATTCCTCGCAAGAAAAGGGAAACGTTGACAGCTATGCTCCCCATCCCTGTCAAGGGCAAGAAAAGAATCACTTCAGCGGAATCTGAGGGTGGGGAGGGGGAAGGTAACAAAAAAAGAGAGCGGGAGAGACACTCTAGGACTGTCTCCTCGACTGCTCCCTCCGTCTCTTCCCCAGGCAACGGCAGCCAGGCAGACACAGAGAGCGCAGGGCTAGAGCGGACCGCCGAGCCTTGTGGGATGCGGGCGGAGCTTCAGGACGAGGAAGTCCCCGCCTCCTCCCCTCCCCCAGCGCCGTCTCTTACTCCGGGCCTGGCTGCCGACTGCGGTGCCTGAGGAGGGTTTTTTTGGACGAGGTAAGGGGCGTAGCGGCGGCGGCGGCGGCTGCTCCTCCGGCTTCCCGAGTCGGAGGCCTCCCTCCCTCCTTCCCCACAGCCCAGTCTAGGGAAGAAGGGGACTGAGGGGAAGGGAGACCGGCTGACTGACTTGACAGCCGCCCCTGGAGTCGGGGGGGGGGGGAGCGAGAGGGGTCGGCGTCCCTCAGCTTCCTCCACTGGGGCGTTGCAGGAGGTGCCCCCCTTTTCCTAAGGGCCGAGGTCCCTTTGCCTGCCCCCCCAATAAAATATTTGAGCGCCCTCCCCCCCCCCAGTGAATGAGCGCTGCCATTCAAATGGCGTCTCTGCGCGTTCTCCAAGTGACCCCCTAATATTTTGTTTTTAGTTGGCACCCCTGGTGCACCCGCTGAGGAGGAAGGGCTGCTGTGGTTGGCATCCATCCGGGAATGAAAGGGTGCCCAGTTATGGGGGTGCGGGGGGGGGGTGAGCAGAGAAAGGGCTGTGGGCCACTGCAAGAACACTTTGCATGCAGGCCAGGGTGGAGAAAAATCAATGATTATTTTTTTAAAATAAAAAAAAAATCGGATTTTTAAAAATTAAAATCGGTTTTTTAAAAAAAGAATTAAATCGGATTTTTAAAATAAAATGCTTTTGGGGGGGGGGAAATCTTTCTAAAGACAGTTTTCTGTTTAAGTTACATTACAGTCCAAAGGCTATTCATCAGGAAATAAGGATTTGTTTTAAGTTTTTGATGTGTGCTAAAACTCAGGGTTTTTTTTTAATTGTTTAACCACATCAGTTAACAAACATGGATACATATGCTATAATGTTATTGTTTTAGTTAAATAAATTGTTTAAATTTTTATTTTTCTCCTTTCAATAAAGTACAGCAGAAAAGCTGTCCAAATATAAACAGTTAACTTATTAAACCTCACAATAATTTCATAATGATCTGTCTACGTATTTCTAATAGTGTCACCAAATCAGAAATTTTTGCTATAACTGTAAAAACTACTCTGAAAATTTATCATTCCAAAAATGAAACCTTCATCTAGTTGTAAATATGCAAAAATGAGTCTTTCTGTTAAAAAAATGATTTAAATCAAGTCTTACTGACTAGTGATTTAAATCATGATCTAAATTGATTTGATTTAAATCAAATCCAGCCTGTCGCGAGCGGCTGTTTTGGGGGGGAAAGGGCAAACTGTTAACGCAGTTCATAGGAGCCAACCCCTTTGGGCCCACGCACCCCCCAGTAAAATATTTGAGGGGGCTGCCCCCCCCAGTTGATGAGCATTGCCATTCAAATAGTGGTTGGGTGCTGTGTCATGTGATCAGTTAGGCAGGGCGGGGCTTACCTGCCCCCCCCAATATTTTATTCCAGTTGGCATGTATAAAAATCATAGAAATGTAGATCTGGAAGGGACCCTGAGAGTTATCTAGTCCAACCCTCCACAGTGCAGGAATCTTTTGCCCAACATGGGTCTCAAACTGACAGCTAAGAGTCTCATACTTGACCAACTGAGCTAGAAGTCAGGCAGCTTAATTTACTGTGTCCCCCCCCCTCGGAAGACACCCCTGCTTGCATGAGGGGCTACTGGTTGGGTTTTTTCTTTGCAGGGGGTCGGTGGGCTGTGACTTGGTTCATGCTTCATTCATTTTATTTGCTTAATTTTTATCTTCATAAAATTTATACACTGCTAGGTTGGAAGGGGACCGCAAAGTGGTTTGCCAAGAGATAAAACAGTAAAATCAAGAAAATGACTGCTGTTTTGTATGCAGAAGCTCCCCAGGTCAATGTTATTAAACACAACCTGAATGCTTTCGCTTCCAGGAATGAGTAGTGGCAGTCTCTTTTTGTGGGGTGAGGTAGAAGGGACTGTTGTTTTGTGGGTAGAGCATAGACTTTGCACGCAGAAGATCCTAGTGTGATTCATTCTCCCTGATAATGCTCCCCCCTCCGAAGGATAAGGGGTGTTTATTCTTTTTGGGAAGATTTTGTCACGTTGAAAAACAAACAATTAGTTCTGTTGTGTTTATGTATTGCTTTATATTTTGTACTTAATTTAATGGGGCTTGACCATAATAAACATTTCAGTTTTTTAACTATGTATATACTTCTTAGCACCATAGTCTCTTAAGTGATGTAAAGTAAGGATAAAAAGATAGAAAAAAAGATAAAATTGGTTAAAACTAACCATAAATCCAGAGAACGTACTTGAAATGCTTGCTGAAATAAATAAAAAAGGTTTTCAATAAGTGCTGGAAGTTCAACAGGGAGGAGGCTTGTCTGGTCTAAGCTGGGAGGGAGTTCTACAGAATTGGGCCAACAGTCAGAGGTTGGTGAAACCGGCCCCTGCTGGGGGCACAAAAATCTCCTATCAGTCTATGGAGTATATGACATATATGAGTGTGATGGTGCGATGCCACTGTCATGGCAAGATCAAATGCAGAAGAAACTTCCCTTCCTTTTTTGCACCGCAACAAAAGGCATGCGGTAAAATGATTTATTTTGAACAGCTCCTTGCCAAAGGCTCAAAGAACCCTAAGTATGAGCTGCACATGCAAGCCATGGGGGGCCACTAACTGACTCCCCTGAAGACCTCAGTGATGGGGCAGCAATATAAGGAGTCAGGTGGTCTTTAAGCTATCCTGTACTAAAGTCGTTAAGGCCCTTGCAAATTAACACAAGAACCTTGAACTCTGAACTACTTTTTGAGACACAGTGCTGCAGCTATTGGGCTTGGTGGACAAAGTGTTTGACCTGATATAAGGCAGCTTCCTGTGTTTTTTCTGGCAGGGCTCCTGTATCAGTCAAAAAATAGTAAAAATCAACAAACGGTTTTCTGCTGGAACAGATATGCAGGATGGGTGGGATAGTTAGTGGTGGAAAGCATCACCTGGTGATATTTTGCCTGTTGCATACATTTAAAATCTACTCTTGGGATTTCCTGATGGTGCCCCAAGCTGCTATCAAGCAAAATTCCACATTAGATGATAGTCCATATCTCTCTCTGTGTAAAGTTACACATTGTGCATTTTTGCTTATCACACATATTTGAAAGCCGACCCTGTCCCTGGGAGGGCTCTTCTGTCTTTGCTGGGTGCAAAATAAAAATAAGCAGGCAATATAGTTCCAAGCAGGGATGATGGGGAATGCGGTTAATTTTGACCTATTATACAGCTTTAAAAGTAATCTTGGGAACCTGGAGCTACTCCCCCCCTCCCCCATGTTTGCATCAAGCAGTAGTTCATTGGAATGCTAAATGCTTGTTTTAATCTAAAGAATTAGCACCCCTAGTATCTTCCTCCCTCTTCCTAGGAATGCCCTGTTAACTCACTTCTGAAGTGGAAACAGGGAAATATGTGCAGTGCTGGCTCTGACAGCTGCCTGGGCATTTTTAATTATTATTTTTTGCAGTGTAAATCCCCAGCTGGAACTGGGAGCTTGAGGAAAGGAAGACCTGTGTGTTTGGAAATGTTAAAAAAGTAAGGCAAGCTGCATTTAGCTGCATCAAAATTTAATTTTCTGTTGGCGTGGGGAGCATTTTCCAATGCTTAAATACTTAAAAGCTTCATGTGTCTGTCCATATGTGCATAGATGTTGCAGGTCGCAGATGGGAAATCCATTCATTGCTTGCTGCTTTGGCAAGAAGGAAGGTGGCTTCTGATTATGTCCTGCCCTATTTGGCAGCCACTCACAGAGCTGTCTTTCTAATCCTTTGTGTGGGTTTTTAAAGCTACGCACGCTTGCGCTGTTGTATTGGGAAGTGAGGAATAACAGAAGTGGTGAGGGTTAAGGACATTTGTGCAGGCTGCCACAAAATTGCAATGAAGCCACACACGGGAGAAGCTGTAAGTATGACACGCAAGCAATATATATATATATATATTGTTTCCCTAAAACTAGAAAACATAATTGCATCTCTGAGTGAGCTAGGTGTCAGACATGCACATCCATTTATCACTGAATGGCTTTTGATGTCTAGTTATACAGCTAAATACTTAGGATTTCTCCATCTTAACCCCTGTTTCTTTCTCTGTGCTCATAAGCTGCAGATTTGTGCTTGGCTTTGCAATTCTGAAAGCATTTAAGGAATGCCACATGGATCCAGGACTTCCTGCTTCCATCCCCACCCAGAGCGTCTGGTCTAAGCTATTGGGTATAGATCCTGGCAGCAAAACTTGATCTTCAACACACTGCTCAAGAGTTGGATGTTTTTTTGTTCATTCTTGCATATATCCCTTTCCTTTTTTAAAAAAAATAAACTTAAATGGAGAGATGGAAAAGCTCTTTTGTGGCTTTCATCCAACTATTCTTCCCTTGGAAGGCTGTAAAATGTCTTTGGTTTTGGTATTAAAAATGCATCAGGCTGCTTACTCAGTTAAAACCATCTACAGACATAATCACTGCTCCACATGCCAGACATGCAGGATTTGAAAGAATAAGGGATGGATGTCTGAGCTGGTTTGTAATCACTTCAGAATTACAAAAGCTAAAAGAGACACCATCACACGATGGCTACTCTCACAATGATAGACATTTCTGCAAACTTGGGAATGTTACCCTATTTTTTATGGATTCATTTTTAAGGGCGCTAAACTGTGGTGGCACAATAAGTATTCTAGTCTTTAAGAAGTTTTAATGCCAATTACAAAATCAACTTACTATGAAAAAATATATAAAATCACTCTGGATACCAAGAGCAGCAGGATATAAATAAAGAATTATTTTTATATACACACATGCTCTTATAGCCATGATGATAAATCATTGGCTAATTTTTGGGTGTACTGCAAACCTGAAAACTTTATATAATGTTTTCATTTTGTTGTGACTGGAGAGTGAAGTCCTCAGATGCCAGCTACTGTACTAAGTTTACTTTTTGCATCCCGAAGTTACAAAGGAAATGACCTGGGTTCCTTCCTGCCTCTTCCAGAGGGGGCCTCATCTCGTAATGGACTTTTGGGATGACAACATACTGTGGATGCTAGTGTTTGATTGTCATGTCCAACTGACGTGGATCTCTGTACTCTTTGAGTGTAATTTTCAAAAGCCTGCGCTCCCGTGAGATCGGAAATGTTATTGGTACAGTATGTGTCCTTCTGAAATCAGCTTTGATGAATGGTGCCTTACCAAGTTATACAACATCAAAATATGCCCAGTACTTCATTTTTAAAAAAATTGTTCAGTTTTGTGTGTCTCTAGAAATTGTTAAACCACATGTGGTCAAGTACAGTGGTACCTCGAATATGGAAATTTGCTTCTGCATTGATTGCTGATCAGTTTTGTGAATCAGGTCTGCTTTTGCTTAGTTGAGATGTTCCTTAAGCAAGACTGTGTTTGTTTCCACACTGCCATGTGTAGTTTTAACTAATAGCAAAGCAGTTAGGGGGTGGGAGTGTTTGTCAGAAGAGGGCTCTGCTCCCCACATCCCTGCAGGACGGATTGCTTCTTCCTTCCTCTGCAAGCCCATTTTGTTTCCATGCTGTCAGTGGAGGATGACAAGCCTGTTCCTCCATGAATGTGGAAACCAAGCGGACTGACAGAGGAGAGACTAAGAGGTCTGTTCTTACTATGTTGGTGCACTAGGTAGAAAGCACCGCCCAGTGGGGGAACCCCCCCCCCCATTTAGTCTCTTAGGATTAATTATTTTTTTGGGCCTCCTGTATGAAGCTTACTTAAGGCTACAGCTGTGATGCTCGTAGCATAGGTTGGCTGCAAACATACCTACAAAGATATGAGGATGGGTTTTGGATATTTTGCTTCCAAAGAGGGCTGAGAATGCTACAAGTTTATTGGACGTTGGTGCTTAGTCAAATCAGCTTCGGCTATCAGCTGACCTCTAGGAAAGATCCCTGGGCATTAGTCCAAGCACTACTGAAAGCTCTGTTTGTACAGCTGCGTTGCCTTTTTTGGGATGGGGAGGTCCTTAACAGAACGTGTAATGGAGTTGCGTTGAGACTATTGTTTAAAAACATGTTTGGCGATTATTATTTTTTAATGACTAGTTAATTAGGCAGCTGATTTTTTTAAAAAAATACTGTTTTATCAAAACATCAGATGGCAAACGTGATCCCATCTACTCTCATCTCTGTTGTCCAAGAGAAAATGCTTCTTCCAACAGATGCCGGCTGCAGTGCACACACATATCATCTAAAGCAGGGCTAGCCAACATCTGCCATTGAACTCCCAGCTCCCATCACCCCCAGCCAGTGCGGCCAGTAGTCAGGGATGATAGGAGCTGCATTCCAGTCCTGCCACCAGGTTCCCTATTTCTGATCTAACCTAATGAGGGTGGCAGTTCTATGCATGCTTAATGAACGTTAAGTGCCACTGAACGAACGCAGTGTGAATTAACTTCTGAGTAAATGTACATTTGGGTGTGATGCACATCTCTGCAGCACCTCTTGCACTGTTTAGAGCAGCTGGAGCTGGTCCGTTAGGATGAAGGGGTACTGCCCTATCACGCTCAATCTGCCCTTAGCCAGTCTCCAGCTCCCCACCTTCCTACTTACAACCAATCCTGGGGGTGGTATTGGCTGTAAGCTGCCTCCTCCTTAGTCTTAGTTTTGTGCTTCTGGAATTCAGCAAGGAGGAGGATGGGACCAAAATGATAATTAATTGGCTCTCTCTCTTGTTGGTTCTGGCTCCACCTGCTGTTTTGGCTTCCTGCATTTTGCCGTACCAGTCCCAATGGGCACCAGTCAACACCACTTAAGACTGATTGCAGAGTTTGGGGCTTTGCTGTCATAGCCAGTGTTTGTCATATCCAGCTTTTCCTTTTCTTTTGTGTGCAGACTACCTCTACTGAAGATACACATCTTTACCATGGCCTTTCATAGAATCATAGTATTGTAGAGTTGGAAGAGATCGCAAGAGGCATCTAGTCAAACTAAAGCATCCATGACAGATGACCATATGCTTAAAAGCCTCTAGTGCGGGAGAGTTCACCACCTTCCAAGGGAGTCAGTTCCACTGTCGAACAGCTCTTTCCTGATGTTTAGTCGGAATCTCCTTTCTTGTAAATTGAATCCATTGGTTCAGGTCCTAGTCACTGGAGCAGCAGAAAACAAGCTTGCTCCATCCTTCATGTGACAGCCCTTTAGATATTTGAAGATGGCTATCCTATCTCCTCTCATCCTCCTCTTTTCCAGGCTAAACATACCCAACTCTCTTAACTTTTCCTCATCAGTCTTGGTTTCCAGACACCTGAGTTGTGTGTTTTCAGGACCCACCCTATTCCTGTGGCTGTAACTTGTTTTAACTTTTTAATACTGAGTTTCAGATTGTTGTGACCTGCCCTGGGACCTGCTGGGGAATTGTGGGTAATAATAATATACTAAAAGTGTGGTGGGGAACTTTAACAAACAGGCAAGCGCTGTGAACCAGCACTGTGAATGGTTGATCTATGTATTTGTGATCTGTATATTTGCTGGGGAGCAATGGGGAAAAGCTGAAGATTCCCCTCCCTCCAACTAATTTTCTAACCATTTTTCTAGTGCAAGCATTTAGCAGTCCTCTTGCATTCTATTATAACTTGGCGTTGCATCCTGCCAGCAACACTGAACATTAGTAAGCAACAGGAAAGCATCTGCATCCAGAAGTCACAGGTGTCTGTCTGTAGGTCACTTCCTTCTTTTCAGGCCACGAAATGTGTTTGTCAAGAAGGCCAGTGATTAAATTTCTTGAGTCTCTCCTCCTTTGTTTCTGTATATGTTCTGAATAAAGGAGCAGTTGGTTTCATATTTTTTTATACCCAACTGCATGACAAGTCTATTGGGAATCCAGAAACATAAGAACCTGCTAGTCCTGGCTTAGTTACAGTGGTGAAAATTCCTAAATTATTGGTATAGGAACTCAAGAGTGGCTTCTGAGAGCCATGTGGTCTGAGCTTTGAGCAAGAAGCACATATGTGAGCTCTTTTCCCCTTCAATCAGATTGCAACTTAGCTGAGAGTCAGAAGCTACTGCTTGAAGAGCCACGCTCTTGTCTCATTTGCAAAATGATGTTTTCTTTGTTTGCTGCTTCCAACTTGGTTATAGTAAATTTTTTTACGGTATTTATTATTTGTGAGTCACCCAATAAAATACACTTTAGGAGACGTACAACAGAATAAGCAACATTAAAAACAAAGCACATAATGACAAATCAGCACTAAAACCAATCCCGCAACTTTCTAGGAATAAAATCCAACTCTGCATAAAACAGCTGCAAGTCAGCCACTGGTAGCTGGTTCAATTAACTTATCGATGGGACTCAAAAAGCTTAAAACGAACCTGTTGCCATCACTCTACAGATAATAAAATAAATGATACCAAATAATGGACAGAACAGTCCTTTCCCCTAACACGTATTTCCATAGCCAGAGGTGGGTGAGGGACTGCATCTATTTGGTTCCCTGTGCCATAGCTGTAAAAATGATGTGGTGAATTCTTAGCTTTCCCATTTAACACAGACTTTGTTCCTATTCTCTTCCTCCCACCCCAATCCAGGCTCTGAAATTTGGAGTGTGAGAACATGTCTCAATCTGGTGAGAAAGTGAAGGTAAGTAGAATGGGTTTGTGGCAGACCTTACCAGAACACTGTGCTAGCAACATTGCATGTATGTGTGTTCTGACTTGTGAGCGTGGGGCTGCATGTTAAGGGCTTTCAAAACAGCCCCCGTGCTGCTCTTTGAAGCCCTGACTTCAAAGGGGCTTCGAAGCGCAGCACCACCTGACATTACTGTGACATTGTGTGATTGCCAGGTGGTCAGCTGTCAAATTTGGCCTGCCTGGGGGTGGAGATATAGTGATCTGGCCCACTAGCCAGAAAGGGTTACCCACTCCTGCTGTACAGTCCTATATGACATTGATTTGGGCAGAAGGTTAGCCTTCCAGCAGCCATCCTTTGCTCTGCTGCATAGTCAGCAGTTGGGTATAAACCACACAATTCTCAAACATGAGTTGGGTTATTAAGCAGTAATTTGGTTATTAAGAGAACTTTGTGCCACTTCCGACACACACGAGAAGTGGCAAAAGAGGAAGTGTGGCTAAGTCTGCGTGAGGGCAGGATGTCTGCACGTTCTCCAAATTTGGGGATGGCATGAACATTTCCTCCCATGCAACATTTACATGAGACCCAGGAAAAGAGGAAAGATGAGTTATTGTTCTTGCTGTTCCACTTCTGTCAAAACACCCAACCCCTTTTTTTCGGTCCTGCGGATTTGCGTTGATTCTTTATTGGTTCATTTTGTGTGCTTTCGTCGTAAAACCCCTGTGCTTTTGTTACAACCGACTTCCATGTCCAGTTCACAACTTGTATTGTTTTTCTCCGTCTCCTCAGTTTTCTGACTCGGCAGGATATGTAGGCTTTGCCAATCTCCCCAACCAAGTCCACAGGAAGTCTGTCAAGAAAGGTTTTGAGTTCACCCTCATGGTGGTTGGTACGTGCTCCCCCCCTTCTTTTTTTATAAGCACTTCATTATTAGACTATTTTAGGCTGTTAAATATATATCTTTCTTTTGTGTGTGTCTCTCCATCAGTTCTTCCTCCTTTTTGTGTGGAAATCTATTGTTGAAACTGTCATATGGAAGCTAGTTCAGTCTGGATTTCTTCCTGTGAATTGTCTGTCCCTGTTCTTGGGGGGTGGGGAAAGAGACGAGGTAAAGAGCACTGAAGTTAGTATCTCACTAAAGAGGCACAGCCTTCCTGCCATTGCTGGTGAAGGAAGGGAAATAGCTCAGTCTGCTTTGTATGGAGAAGACCCCAGTTTCGACCTCTACCATTTGCAAATAGGGATTTGCTTGAAGGAAGGTTATATGACAGGGGAAGGGAACCCTTTTCAGCCCAAAAGACAGTTCTCTTCTGGGCAACTTTCTGAGGGCCTGTGATGTAAGGTGCAATAGTGGGCGGAGCAATGAATATTATTATTAGTAGTACAGTGGCACCTTGGGTTACATACGCTTCGGGTTACATACGCTTCAAGCTACAGACTCCGCTAACCCAGAAATAGTACCTCGGGTTAAGAACTTTGCTTCAGGATAAGAACAGAAATCGTGGTGCAGCGGCAGCGGGAGGCCCCATTAGCTAAAATGGTGCTTCAGGTTAAGAACAGTTTCAGGTTAAGAACGGACCTCCGGAATGAATTAAGTACTTAATCCGAGGTACCACTGTATTTGTACTATATTAGTATTGTTAGTACCCCACCCATCTGACTGGATTGCCCCAGCTTCCAACATATATAAAAACATAATAAAACATTAAACATTTAAAAAAACTTCCATATACAGGGCTGCCTTCAGATGTCTTCTAAATAATAATAATAATTTTATGATTTGAAACCAATCTGTGTTTGAATGCAGATTTTACCTTTGTACAGCAGGTTAGTTTTTACATACACTCACACATCCCTCTCCATCCTCCAACCAGGCAAGCAAGAGGCGTTATCGGAGTTCTTAGATCATAAAACCGTAAGAGTAGGAAGGGATTACAAGGGTCATCTAGTCCAGCACCTTGCAATGCAGAAATCTTTTGCGCAAGGTGGAGCTTGAACCCACAACCCTAAGATTAAGAGTCTCATGTTCTACCGACTGAGTTTTCCTCCAGTTCAAGTAGACATTCCAGCCTGGGAAGAACAATTGGGGTGTGATGAGGGTCAGTGAGGGATGTGACCTGGGAAGAGAGGATGTAGCCTGGGGGGAGTCATGAGGGTCAGATGGAGAGGCCTTGAGGGCTGCATTTGCCCTTGGGCTGGAGGCTCCCCACCTCGTTATACAACAATGATAATTCATTTTGCATTCCTTTTTTTACAGTATGCTTGCAGAGTGTTTTCATGTCTTCTTGTTAGTCATTCTTCCATCCCACGCTTTTCAGTGCATTTCCCCATCAATTTCCAAACTGCAGAAAGTCCAGGGTTTGTGTGTATGCGTGTGTATCATGACAGAATGCTTTATTCCACTTCACTTACGCAAACCTAAACATCTGGTTTGTGTTGGAATTGCTCCTGCAAAATGCAGGCAGTTGGGAGGCACCATGAATGGAAGCTTAGAAATGAGGCGCAATGCAGATGTAATCTTCTAGCAGCTGCTCAAACCATAGTTGAAAGTTTGAAAGGACCCTCAAGTTTGTGAGCTCTTCCTCCCCCTGCTTTCCTTTTTGTAGGTATAGCCATTGATAGCCTCATCCTACATGAATTTTGTCAAATCCTCTTTTAATGCCATCAAAACCGGTGGCCATCAGTGCTTCTGTTCCTAACTTTGGTTGCATTTAAGTGAACCATGTCTAGTTGTGGGCAGATACAAATGTACCCTAGTTGGATCCAAAAAGAGAAGTTGGAGGAAATTGGTGCCTGAGGGAGGGAGGGAGATGAAAGTGACCAAGTTTGCGAGTTGCACCCAATCTCCTAGATGTGGTTTGGTGACTTACGTCTCAACTAGGCCGATAAATATTGGTACATACGTGTATTATTTCACAAGTGCTGTCCACTTTGGTCTGTTTAGGGAAGCTGCTAGCTTTTTCTCGCAGTTAGAGATGATGTCATTAAGACACTGAACCTAGACTATTATTGGAAAGTCATTTGTACCAACATTGACTGCGGTTAGGTTTTAACACCACCAAAACTCCCTCTGACTCACTTCCTCTAAGTTGTCTATGAGGACACTTGGGAAGCTTACAAGAATGGTCAAAATTCTTTTGAGACACAGTTGTGGAATGGGGGAGAAATTTGATTTGGCTTGCATTTTAAAAAAATTAAAATTAAAGCCAAATCTATCAAATTTGCACTTTCTGCAAGAATATGAGAACTGAAACACAGTCATGGTTTGAAATTCACACTTAAACCAAATTTTGTGGGGTGGTTCTCTGACCAAACAATGCTTCCAAAAATGGATATATTAAGTAAAAGCGGACATAAAGAGAACATTAGGGAAAATAACATACGGAAATGCATTATGTTAAGAGAAGCTGCTTGCAAAAATATGTAATTAAGTCAAAAATGTACACAATAATGTGTGGAGAAGTTTGCACTGAAATTTTGAAGAATTTTGTGAGGATTTTTTAAAAAAATAAACGAAAACCATGAATTGCTGCAGAAATGTGGGGAACTGAATTTAAGATGGGAAACTGAGAGGACCAAAACTGGCAGATTCTTCCATCCCTAGTCAGAACCCTCATATGTCAAAAGAGCTGCCAGGGTCACACAGAAGGCAGAGGGAAATGGCTCCAGGTTTTTTTTTCAGGGTGGAGGTAGGCTTGCCAAAATGTCTCCTTCTATGTCTGTGGGGCAATGGTGGGAGTGAGCTGTTGGGGTGGACACAGTTGTGTGTGGCCTGTCCAGTACCTCTTCTGCTAGCTAGCCCCCATTCATGTGCAATGGAGGATGCTGTCTTGCCACCAGCATTGACGTAAGACTCGCTCCACATTCAGCTAGCTTCTGAATGTGCAAAAGGAAGTGTGACACTTTGCCCTTCATTCAAGGCAACCCAAATACCTTGAGCCATCTTTGATGGCTACCACCTCAGAAATGAATGGACTAATGTTGTGTGATTGATTTTAGGAGAGAAAATTTCCTCCATAGCCATTCACCCCAACTTGCTTTTTCGAGTGTGGGGTGGTGGTGATGCATGAACTTACTTGATATCAAGAGATAAACTCGAATCAAATAAATACAGGAACTGAAGAGAAAGTGCTGGAAAGATGCTTGTCTTGTAGGTACAGTGGTACCTCGGGTTACATACACTTCAGGTTACATATGCTTCAGGTTACAGACTCCGCTAACCCAGAAATATTACCTCGGGTTAAGAACTTTGCTTCAGGATGAGAACAGAAATTATGCAGTGGCGGCGCAGCGGCAGCAGCAGGCCCCATTAGCTAAAGTGGTGCTTCAGGTTAAGAACAGTTTCAGATTAAGAACGGACCTCCGGAACGAATTAAGTACTTAACCCGAGGTACCACTGTATTTGATTAGAGCACTTAATTTGGCCTTATGGGTTTCGTTATGAAAATAGGTGGATTAAATTTAGAATTCGCACGGCTCACTTTCCTCAGGCTTGTTTTTCCTGTTTACTTTAGCTAAGCTTGGGAAAGCCATTGATGTCGTTATCTTATAAAACCAGGGTGGATACTGGCCGTAAGAGATAAACCTGTGGCTTGCATGAAAGTGGGGAGCGGAATTATTCCAGTAATTAAACATCCATCTCATTTACAGGTGAATCTGGCTTGGGAAAATCCACTTTAATCAACAGTTTATTTCTGACCGATCTCTATCCTGAACGTTACATTCCTGGAGCTGCAGGTAAATCGGTTTGTTCCTAACGCTCGCTTTCTGATTTCACATGCTTTGCTTCCTCTGATATTTCGCTTGCACAAGGCTGTTCTTATGTACTGATGATGATAGACTTCTTTTCATAAATATCAGGGCTGTAGCTTCATTTAAAAACAACAACCAACAACAAACTGTAGATTTAATCAATGAATTAAGTGATTAAGGTGTGTAAAACCGAAGACCTCTGATGGAAGAATATCTACACTTCCTAGTAGGAGTGTGTCTGTTTGGGGTTCATGCTAGCTGGGAAGCCATTTCTTTCCTGCTTCCCTCCCCTGATACTATAAACCAGGGTTGGAGCACCTTCCACAGGCTGCATGTCGGTAATGGGCCAGGCCAGAGGCAAAAATGGGTGGCGCATAACTGTGACACTAACTTCCGCACAGTAGACTACATTCCAGCCTCTCAAAAGTCAAAGGCTTCTGCACTCCTGTATGCAGCCTGCTTCCACCTGGGCAGGTGAGAAGCACCTTCACCAAGATGCATACCAGCTAGGCAGAAAGGGGGTGTGGAGTGGCCTAGGGAAGGAGGGCAGCCTTGGGAGAGTTTCAAGGCCTGGGTAGAGAGGGCTGGAGGGCCACATTCTGCATTTGGCCCATTGGGTCTGAGGCTCAAGCAGAAGATCCTGCTCTCCCCAGCTTCCTGCTCTTTTCTTTTCCAACTGCTATTCAACATTATTATTAGTTGCTTGTTGCGCAAAGGTCTCCAAGTGGCTTATAATGCATGTAGAACCTAAAAAGCAGATATTGGGGTTATAGCACATGTTCACTCTTAATTGTAAACAATTGTGGGTGGCCTTCTTACATTTTCATATTTCTGCATGTAGATACCTCTCTTTTGTTTCTCACTGGTCTGTTTTTGGCTATTATTTATACTACTTTATGCCAAAATGAGATTGTAAGGGGTTTATGAATTAGAAAAACCAGTTATACAAACATTGTTACTTAAAATAGAGAATAAAACAATGGAGAAATTAAAACAGAAGGTTCAGGTACATCTTCAAAAGCCGGTGGGATGGCAATATACATGGTTCCTCTCATATTTTTGTTGGTACTTGCCATCTGAGTTTGCCATTAGAAGGACTATTATGCCTCTGAATGCAGTTTGCAACTTGCAGTTGCAAATGATTTAGCCTAACACATGTGCTCATGCATCCAGTTCATCCTCAAAGTGCGCCAGGTGCAGAAATGCTTGATTGAATAGTATAGACATGCTGAAGTATTAGCCCACTATTGAGGTAGAAGTTACTGTTTTTCATCTCCCCAGCTTGACATGAAGCAGAGTTCCCTTGTCATCTGCTGGCGGTTGTAGAAAGACAAGAGATCTCTGCTTCCTTCTAAGACAGAGGGAAAGACAGTGAGAGATTATAAGTACAACAGGTGGGTTTGGAGTATTGACATGGATGCAAAACTTGATTAACTGAGCCCAAGATTTTTCATGGACTGATTGGCTCAATTAATACTACAGTTCTAATAAATATATATTCTGGCTTGCACCTTTCGTACATCATTATATAAGGAGCATGTTGCAAATTGTTCCTTATCCCATTCAACTTGGCTCCTTTGCTGCCTTTTGTCTCATGTTCTTTTTCGCATCAATGCTTCTGTTGATGACATCAAAGTACTTCTCACTTGTCACTGAAATCGTTATATTGTCTACTCTGGTTGTCTTCTAATTTCCCGCAGTGTTCTGCCTATCTATCCTTTAAAGAATGACTTAAAAGAAAGAGAGAAAAAAAGCTTCATGCTTTTTGGAACTAAGTGCCATAAACTAGCCACTTGACAGGATCCTCAGGGGCCACTCACTGTGTTCTGCATGTCCGAGGCAGTTTCACCCCAACTCAGGACAGCTAACAACCACCATAAAACCATAAAAGTGGCAGTAAAGCAACCATAACACAATTACTCTATTTGGGTGTTCACTCCATGTGAGTGCTATTATGTGGAAGTGGGACATCACGACTATCCTTCCTGGCCCTAACCCCATCCTGAGTCCTACCAACCCCACCCCCATGCGTGTGGGGGGGGGGCTCCTCTATAGAGGGAGACCTGCCCTTAGGTTACCCCTGTGATTTAGAACTCTGACTGCCCAGAGTTCTAAGTCATAGGGAGGCAACTTGAGTACTTAAAGCAGGCTGCCCTATACAGACATGCGTTCTCAATGAGACTGTTGGGTTTCCCCACTTTCCTGCACTACATGATTATAGAGCTGGGTTGAACTCCCAAATAGGCTTGTAGGGTTGCCAAATTGCAAACAGCAGCAATACTATCATATCCACACCACATATTTTAAGCACTCTTAGACCGCTCTGACAGTCATAGAGAATCTTGGGAACTGTAGTTTGTTAAGAGTGCAAGGAACTGTATCTCTGTGAGGTGGGCACTACAGTTCCCAGGATTCTCCGTGACTGTCAAAGTGGCCTTAAGAGTGCTTTGTGACCTAAAAACACAGCAGCCAAACTGAAACTGAAAGATTAATGAGGATCCTGATGAAACACACTTCTATATAGTATTGTATTAGCCTGATGCCTGGCTGTGAAAAGGAATGGCATCAGCTGGGTTTCATGGGGCAAGGGTTTCCATAGCCAGGGAGCTGTCAGCGAGAATGCCTTGTTCTTCATTCTCACCCTCTGCACCATCAGGTGGCTGTGAGACACGGAACAGGGTGGTCTCCGTGGCTACAACAGAATCTTCAAAATCCTCATGCTACTTTTGAGTTCTTTGAGGGCAGCCACTGAGGAATTCTCAGTAAAGGCTGGGCACATGCATTGGATACACAGGAATCCTTGGGGATTCAGACTGGGCATAGGAAGCATTTCTTTTGTGTGGGATGTCATTTCCAGCCTAATTTCTATTATATATTCCCTCCCTCCCTCAGTAGTTTGAATAACATTTTACTGCTTTGTTGGCCAGGAAACTTTTAACATTATATGACATTTCTCTTCTAGAGAAAATAGAGAGAACGGTCCAGATTGAAGCTTCCACCGTAGAAATAGAGGAGCGAGGGGTGAAACTCCGTCTCACGGTAGTCGACACTCCAGGATATGGAGATGCCATTAACAGCCAAGACTGGTATGTTATTTCCTCAGGCTGTGTTGCTGAATCTTCACATCTGTCCCAGGCTTCCATTCTGTTGTATACAGCTTTGGTGATACTTTAAACTGTTTTAACTCTCATGTCTTCCTATCGGTGCTGGGGATTAGGCAGCAGAGACACAGCTTCAAAAACCAGGATTGAGCCTCCCCATGCATCAGATGATGTGTGGAAAGTTCAGTCCTGCTTGGGTTGGGCGCACCACTCACTTGGTTTGGGTGCACCAGTCAGTTCCCGAACTCCATGAACCTTAAAGAAAGCTTGATTGAACATTCCCCCCCCACATCAGGTGATGCACAGGGCAGAGGTTTTCAACCTTTTTGAGTCCACAGCTGCCGTGACCAACTACATTCTTTCTGTGGCACCCCTGTGGGGCTCAGGAGCCCAGCTGTTTCACCCCTTGCCTGCAGAGCTGGCCCCCTCTCACGCTTTTTCGAACACGCTCCCTTGCGGAGTGTTCCCCTCAGCCTCCCCTCCCCTCTCCTTGGGAGTCCTCTGGGCAGCCACAGTCGCCACCCATGGTCTCTGAGATGCCCCCCTGCCCCCAAGAGAGGTACCTCCTCACACTTCCCCACAAGGGCCTGTGACTTGTCAGTCCATTCCCAACAGCAAGGGCTGCCTCAGCTTCTGGCAACCAGCACTCCCTGGCCAGCCCCAGAGGCACCATTCGCTTGTGGAGTTTGTAGCCAGGGCTGCAACAAACAGCTGTGCAAGCCTTTGGGAGGCAGAGACGTGAGAGGGCATCAGAGGGAGGGAGGGAAGGAAGGAAAGGGGGACAGAGGCCAGTGTTGCCCGCGGCACCCCTGACCATCATTCAAGGCATTGGTTGAAAACCACTGGCATAGGGAGTTCAATGTAGCGTTGCCATATTTCAGAAAGTGAAAACCCGGACAAAACAGTTGACCTATTTTTGGGGGGATGCGGTGGAGCGCCTCAGCCACCATTACAAGGCCACCCTCTTCGTCTCCAACAACAGCCGCAGCGGGCAGTGCACCCCAGGGACAGCTAACTGGGAAGCCAAACACGTATATGTTTGAATGCATTGTGGAGCGCTTTGGTGTGGATCCGTCCCATGTGCTCATGGGGGTGACTGGCTGGAGACATGGTTTGCCATATGTCCAGGTGTTCCCAGACATTTTAAACGAAAATTTCAATATTCTGCCCAGACACCATTTTTGGAAGCGAAATCCCGGCGATGTCCGGGATTTTCTGGACGCATAGCAGCCCTAGTTCAATGCCCCTGTAGAGGTTCACTCCAATGAATGCTGTAAACTGGGAGCAACTGACTTTTATGATTATTGGGTTGAAATACAATAGTTCAAGCAGATGCTACGTATCCTGCTGCTTTGGCCTACACAGTATTGTTAAATAATTTTGCTTTCCTGGAGTGATTTTTCTAGTCTTTCTGCGCAGGATCGCTTTTAACATTTTCTGTAATAGTTGACTTGGAATTTCCTTCTGTGGGATCTCCAAGCCCCTTTAGCTTGGCTATTGTGTTGCAAGTAGGACTTCCTGTTGATTGTGTTCTGATGCCGTGTTTATTCTTCGGAAATGTTTCATGCGAATCCTGCGAGTTTGAATCCCCACCCACTTTTTCCGGCAGGGAGGCCGAGCAAGCGGCAGGCAGCAAGATGGTGTTATGGTCCATCATTGCATTACTGTTGTTGAATTTGCAACAGAGGATTAAATTTGCAGAATAGGATTACAAGGGCTATGTAGAAACTATTATTTCTCCCACCTCCCCACGTTGGAGGCTTCAATTCCCTTTCTTTCCACAGTCAAAAAGAGTGTTCTAGGGTTTGTAAAAGCTATCTTCTCAAAGTATTTATACTTTTAAGAAAGCAGTATATCACATATTTACACAGCATGCCCCTGAAAATGTTGGCCTCCTGGCACCACTTGCCCGAGCTCAGGGTGTGACCCACTGTTGAAGACCAGTCTTCTGTGCCACTTCTTGTTTTGTCTTACCACTTGGACCTTCATCTGCTAGTCGATCTTGACTACTTTCCCAGGAATAATCCCTCAGGCAGGATCCAATGGAAGACTGATATTCTGCCTACAGCGTCATTGTTATGTCCCAACTGAGAGTTAGCGTAGCAGAACGATGAGATTGGGGGACATTCCAGCTATATACTCACCAGGAAGCTGTGATCAAACATTGTTTCCTTAGTCTCAGGCCTCATTTGCCCAGCTCATCTGTCATACTGTATAATACCGGCTTATTTTACGGGTTTGTCATTAAGGATAGCAGGAATAATATAGTGTGACGTGCTATGAGTATGTAAGAAAAGTGATATATACTTTTTAAAAATGCCTTTGCCGTTCTAGGGCTCTAGCGGCTATATTAAACCTGTCATGTAGCTCTGTGTTAAATAAAAGGTGTCAGGTGATATTTCCTCTGTTCTGAACCTTTTGTTCCACTACAACAAGACCAGTCTTTCTGGGCTGCTGCCTTGTTAGGTGGAAGGAGGGCGTGTGTTTTGGTAACATTCGGTTTATTTCATTTTCTCAAAAACCATTATTTTCCCTATGGAAAAAAAAAAAGATTGCTTTGTTTGCTGTTGTAATGCATAGTACAGGATATGGAGTTGTTTAACTAATGGTACTGTCGTGGTGGAAAGCAGGTGCTTCCCGGAAGGTAGAATGTACAATTCACTGCTGACTTACACTTACAGAAAAACGGAACAGCAGTGAGGACTTGAAAGTAGCATGTAAGCAAATTACAGTGACAGAGAAGCGCTAAGTAGAGTTTTTCTGGCACAACACGCTGAGGTTTTCCCTCCTGATCATATTTCATCAGCCCCACTTCCCTTGAATTGCCAAACTTTTTTGTAATTCCTGTGGAGGTAGAAATATTGAGGAAGCTTGGTATACGTGTGTACTATCACCGTCTCACCATGAACCCTTTGCTTTGGGGGTGGGTGCTTGTATGTGACTTCTGTGGGAGGCAGAACAGGATTTGCTAATTTAACAGTTTTTAGTCATAAGGGAACTGAAGACAAATAATCTCAGTTTGTAGGTGAGTGCAGTACTGCTTGTAGTAGAACTTTCAAAAGAACTATTTACACAGAAACTCCCAAAATAGGAAACATCCATTTATTTACATAATAATAATAAAAATAATAAAATTTTATTTATATCCCGCCCTCCCCAGCCAAAGCCGGGCTCAGAAAGGCTAACAACAGTAAAATAATATAATACAGTAAAATAAAATAATACATCATTTGAATACCTTTAATAACTGATATGTTCTGGGCAGTGAACAATGTTTTCTAAAATGGTGTAAAAATATGCAGTTAATCACAATAAAAGTTAATCACAATAAAAGTAGATATACCAGTCAGTCATATAAAACAGTATTAAAAAGCACCAGATGTTCTTAAGCATTTGAAACACCTTGGAAAATTAATAAGGTCATCATCTGGTGCCAAAGCAGCCATAATGTAGATACCAGGCAAGTCTCTCTGGGAAGGGCATTCTGCAACTGGGATGCCACCACTGAGAAGGTCCTCTCTGCCCATTACCTAAGAACCATATCCACCCTCTACCCCAGGCTTCCTCAACCTCGGCCCTCCAGATGTTTTTGGCCTAAAACTCCCATGATCCTTAGCTAGCAGGACCTGTGGTCAGGGATGATGGGAATTACAGTCTCAAAACATCTGGAGGGCCGAGGTTGAGGAAGCCTGCTCTACCCTGATCCCAAACCCACCACCTGCATTTTAAATCCTAACTCTTCCTTCCCCAGCATTTTGCTCTTCAGGAGTCCCCCCCCCCCTCCCTTAACAGTCTTATGCTTCAAGCAATTCTTGGCACCCATTCAGAGAGCCAGTGTGGTGTAGTGCTTAAAGTGTCAGGCTATGACCTAGAGACCCAGGGTTCAGATCCTCAGTCGGCTGTGAAGCTCACTGGGTGACCTTGGGCCATTCACTGCCTCTCAGCCTCACCTACCCCAGAGGGTTGTGTTGGGGATTAAATGAGGGGGAGAATCATGTATATCAACTTGAGTTTCTTGGAGAAATGTTATTGTTGTTTAGTCGTTTAGTCGTGTCCGACTCTTCGTGACCCCATGGACCAGAGCACGCCAGGCACTCCTGTCTTCCACTGACTCCCTCAGTTTGGTCAAACTCATGCTGGTAGCTTCGAGAACACAATCCAACCATCTTGTCCTCTGTCGTCCCCTTCTCCTTGTGCCCTCCATCTTTCCCAACATCAGGGTCTTTTCCAGGGAGTCTTCTCATGAGGTGGCCAAAGTATTGGAGCCTCAGCTTCAGGATCTGTCCTTCCAGTGAGCACTCAGGGCTGATTTCCTTCAGAATGGATAGGTTTGATCTTCTTGCAGTCCATGGGACTCTCAAGAGTCTCCTCCAGCACCATAATTCAAAAGCATCAATTCTTTGGCGATCAGCCTTCTTTATGGTCCAACTCTCACTTCCATACATCATTAATGGGAAAACCATAGCTTTAACTATACGGACCTTTGTTGGCAAGGTGATGTCTTTTGGAGAAATAGGTGGGATAAAAATGCAAGCAACAAACAATCATACACAAACATGTATTTGCAATATATTGTGAACACTGCCCTTCTAAGATTTCAACTTGGTTATGGTTTGGGTCGTAAAAACTTCAGGCGGAAAACCCTGAGGTTTGGAACCAACATTGGGGTGGGTCTGAGAGTTGGCAGGGAGAGAAACATCAGGTATGAAGCTTCATGAGGTTTGTAACCCTAATAACTCTAGTCCTAAAGGAAAGCATGAGAAAGGAGGGAAGGGAAAGGGCTGCGAAAGAGGTGACTCAGAATTAGTCAGCCATTTGAAAGTGTTCCTGCTTTGGGTGGGTGGCTTCCTTTTTTCACTTGTACTTAATTCTGCTGGCATTTGACTGTCGCGTGTCCAAGTCATGCTGCGTACTGCGCTGTAAACATGTCCATTACGCGGCAGCCCCACCAAGATCAGTCTGCCTTGAGTCAGCCCCCACATGTTTACCTCATTACAGTACTTTAAACCAGTCTAGGGGGTGGCACTGGCTGTCAGCCACCTCCCCCCTCCTCCTTAGTGTCAGTATTGCCTTTGTAGAATTCAACAAAGAGGAAAATAGGAACAAAGGCAGAACTATGCCTCATCTACACAATACATATAAAGCATCATCATACCACTTTAAACAGTCATGGCTTCTCCCCAAAATCCTGGGAACCTAGTTTAAAGGGGCTGAGAGTTGTTAGCAGACCCCTATTCCCCACACATAGATACAGTTTCCAGGGTTCCCTGGGAGGGAGGTAAAGGTAAAGGGACCCCTGGCCATTAGGTCCAGTCATGACCGACTTTGGGGTTGCGGCGCTCATCTCACTTTATTGGCCGAGGGAGCCGGCGTACATCTTATGGATCATGTGGCCAGCATGACTAAGCCGCTTCTGGCGAAACCAGAGCAGCGCACGGAAACGCCGTTTACCTTCCTGCCGGAGCGGTACCTATTTGTCTACTTGCACTTTGACATGCTTTCGAACTGCTAGGTTGGCAGGAGCAGGGACTGAGCAACGGGAGCTCACCCCGTCGTGGGGATTCGAACCGCCAACCTTCTGATCCGCAAGTCCTAGGCTCTCCGCTTGTTAAACCTCTCTGGGAAGTGTAGCTCTGTGAGGGGAACCACCGGAAGGGGAAGGGGGACAAAACTACCTTGAATTGGTTCCACATCCCATTGGCTCATGCTCAACTTATTGTTGGGCTTCCTGCTTCCTGCCCCCCCCCCAAGTGGGCACCAGTCACCAGTAGCGGTTGTGAAGAAAAAATGAGAGGCACAGAGTATGAGGAAGCATGCTCTGAATGCCTTGAAGGTTAGGGGCTCTGTAGAAGAAGTGGAAACTAAATATTTCACAAGTGCCTGGATGCAAACCTGTCTCATCACAAGTTCCTCCTTTTCCCTTTTCTCTCACTGCAGTTTCAAGACCATCATCCACTACATTGACAATCAGTTTGAAAGGTACCTTCATGACGAGAGCGGCCTCAATAGGCGCCATATTGTAGACAACAGAGTTCATTGCTGCTTTTACTTCATATCCCCCTTTGGACATGGGTAAGAAAAGATTTGCATTCTAGGGTGAACTTTTTTTCACCGCTAAGCAGGCGCTGGGGAAATTCCAGTGAAGAGATTTAACCACCTTACGAGCAAAGCAAGTTTCTTTGTTGTCAGTCGGCCAACTCAATTAAAATCATCTTTGGGATTAATGACCTCCATTTCAGAGAGGATTTGCTATTAAAACTTGTCAGGGGCACATATTAAAAATGGATGACTATCTAGAAACTTAAAAGTTGTAATAACTATGTCTTTTCATATGTGTATATGGAAAGTTTAATTAAGCATCTCAGCCACCCACATTTGAAGTAAGTAGTTTTGTTTTTCACCTGGGTCTTGGAAGTTCTGTTTGTTGCCAGCAAAAGTAGAACTTTCTTTAACTTACAAGAGTTATACTTCAGCTTAAACTCTAAAAATGGTGTACACCCTCCTGCCCTCAACTGAAATAACAATATTGAAAATATTGAACATTCTAAAACAATGATGGGGGGGACCTGTGGCCCTCTAAGAGTTGCTAGACACCAACTCCCATCAATCCCAGCCAGCTAGCTATACAGTTGTACCTTGATTCTCAAATAGAATGTGTTCTGGGAGTCTGTTCAACTTCTGGAACTGTTCGAAAACCAAGATACAGCTTCTGATTGGCTGCAGGAGCGTCCTGCAGCCAATCAGAAGCCATGGAAACCGTGCCGGATGTTCGGCTTCCGAAAATCATTCGAAAACTGGAACACTCACTTCTGGTTTCCAATTGTTTGGGAGCCAAAACATATGAGTTCCAAGGGGTTTGGCAACCAAGTTATGACTGTATTGATGTGATGGCAGATGAGTGTTAGAGACCAAGATCTAGATTTGGGGGATTGCAGTTCAATGGGAGAAATGTTCGTTTTAAAAATTACTCAATGGTATTGAAAACATTAGCTTAAGAAGCTACTGAGTATATAAGCAGGTCAGGGGCGATGGAAGTTGTGGCCCAGCAACGTTTGGCGATCCTCTCCAGAACCCCCCCCCCCAGTGGTTATCAAAACAATATCAGCAGCAGGACTAACCACAAGAGCAGGGGACTAATTCTGTTTGTGGAATTAAAGAGGGAGATAAATGAACCACCCATGAAAGGGTGTTCTGGAGTTCCAGGGCTGCATTTGCAAAGGCCCTGCTGCTTATTGGGATCTTTTTGACTTTAGATACATAACAGATGATCCATAAGATGCTGCCAAGGACATCTTCACTCAGGACTCCATTAATAATTATTGAGGTTTCCTCTCCCCCCCCCCCAATTGATACACAGGCTGAAGCCCTTGGATGTAGAATTCATGAAAGCACTTCATGGGAAAGTCAACATTGTCCCTGTGATTGCCAAGGCAGACACTTTGACACTGAAGGAGAGAGAGAGACTGAAAAGAAGGGTATGTATAAGCTTTTAAAACGAAATGCCACATCCCGTTTCCGATGAGTTTGTATCTGCTATATGCCTTAGAAATGTGTTTGCTATGCATTTGGACACCTCTTGAGATCCCATAACCAAATTATGGTTCCTGATATCACTTTTATATATATATTAGGATTGGACACCATTTTGAATCAAGATAGTGGAATGAAAATTGCACTGATTTTTTTGTTTTGTTTCATGCAGTTCCTGAGTAAAGGGCCGAGTAGAGGGCTGTTTGCATTATATTAAGAATGTGTGCAGTCCACCTTTATTCCATAATGAATTTCATTCATGCTGCCCATCAATTAAATTTACAGGGTGGCTGGCATAAGGAGGGAGGCAGCTGACAAACATCTGTTCTAAAGAAGGAGGGAAGTATACTTTCTCTGTGTTTTCAGATGACACAATTTGGTTATAATGGGCATCATTTTAGACGTTCTCTTTAATTTCTGGTGCAGAAGAGGGTGTGCCTCTTCTAACATGGCCCTTGAAACCAGCATCTTTTGTGTTTTGTATTTTCAAAAAACTATTTTTGTTCAATCTGTTCTCCTGCTAATCAGACAGCACGTTTTAGTCTGTCAAATGGGCAGGATTGAGCGTTATTTTTAATTGCTCTTGATTTTTCAGAAAGGTAATGAATAAATCAGGGGGCGAGGAGGAAGGAATAAACACAACCAAAGCAGGCTGTTTTTTTTCCTTATCATGAGTATTTACACACCACCCTTCTATTAAATTCTCTTGCATTAAAAGGGAGAAAAGGACTGTTGATCTTCACAATCATGGGGGGTTGGAATCAAACTCATTTTATGCAAGTCATTTCATTCAAAAAGTAGCATTTTGATTGATGGAACTGCCTGGGGTGTGTTTACATTTCAAAGGTACACTGGTATTTATATATTTTGCGCCACGATTTTATACTGATTCAATAAAGATGGAATTGCCTGTTCCTTATTAGTTGATTAAGCGGTTAGTTGCAAAAAGTATAATGTGCTAGAGCTCTTTCCAGGCTGCTGTCTGATAATGCAAACGTGCTGAAACTATTCCCCTTAGTCTAGATTTAACAATGCACACTTGTAAACGTTGGCTATTTGTTTCGCTTTAAATCAGAGATGGAGAACCTTATTCAGCCAGCATGCCATTCTGGGCAGCCAGTGTGGGTGGGGACATGTGGGTGGGGGGCAGGCAGGACCAGAGGCAGACGTGGGTGGAGCAATGAATGCAGATTTTACCTTTGTAGGTTGGTTTCCACACACACACACACACACACACACACACACACACGCATGCATCCACCCCTGTCCTCCAGACAAGCAGGAGGAAAGATCAGAGTTTGAGAATGCGTTCCAGCCACGCTGAAACACTTGGGGTGTGAAGCAGGGCTGGTGGAGAGTTCAAGAGCTGCATTGTCTCCTGCCCCCAGCCTGAGGTTTCTCGCCGCTGCTTTAAATGAACAGCTGCAACAAAACCATTGCCTAATAAGGAGCACTTAAAGGACAAATAAATATAAACATCTTAGCCCTTTGGGTCAGCCATTGTTACCAGCAGCTTAACCAGGATTGAATGCTTTTAATGTTGATCCAGAGCTTTGAAAGCTTAGCTACTGTATATTTTTCTAACTCAAAAAACATCTCTCTATTCAAAATCTGTAATCAAGGCAGGGAATCAGGATCTGCCTCTCCTGATGGAGCTTTGAAGCCTTTGCTAGGCTTTTTTTAGATGTCTCTGCCATTTGGCAATCAATCTAAGGTAATGCGAGGGGGTTTTGGGGCTTTGTTTTTTGTCCTGAATTGTGGAGAGGTTTTTTCTTTCTTTTTTGGAATAAGCAGAAAGCTTAGTTGTGGGGCTTCTGTCAAGGAAACCCAGCTTGGTGTAATTCCTGTTTTGACTCTGTGGAATTCGAACTTCGTTTTTCATTTTTCATATAAAAACACCCTTCTTTTGAGTGAGAAGAATTGGAGGGCAGTTTCACAAGCTGTGTGCTGCAAAGCCGCAAGAGGAAATCTGCTCAAAAGAATGATTACATGAGAATGGGGATTGGGGGGGGAGGGAACCTTGGATTTTGACTTCTTAACACATTTCCCCAGGGAATGCTAATCTTTAGGAACCACAGAACCTCCTGGGGCCAATAAAACCGATGTCCGAAGCAGCAAAATGTTGCTTCATTGTTGGGAATATGAAAAGCAGTTTGTTTTTCCTTGAGATTTGCTCCCCCCCTTTCCCCTTTCAGGAAAGCACTTGGCTGAACAGCTGTGATATATTATTCCAGCACCCTTGTTGGGTTTTTCCCGCCATTGTTCCTCTTTTATCGCTAAGATCTCTGCCCAGAGAAATGGGCTTTCTTGTTCCGTGCCTCTAGTGAAAGGCGAGCTGCAATGCCACCCTGCTCCTCTGCATTGGGACTGACTTTCTGTTGCGTAGCAAATGCTAGAGATGCTGTGCCTTTAAAACCAAGCTGTGTCAGGCATGCCTCCTTAAGGAAGTATCGAGATTTGCATAGAGAATACTTTTCCTTCTCCAGTGTGTTGGGTTTTTTGGTGGACTGAGCCTGGATGTTGTTGGCTATTTATCTCATTTAATGATTGACGGTGCAGAAGGCTGTAGAGAAACTCCATTGCTTTCCCTTTCTGTGAAGTCTTCCTTGGGGAACTTTTTTAGTGCTCGGATTGACCACTGACCCCTTCCATTCTTCATATCCCATTTTGGCTGAATGGGCTGGTTCAGAGCATCAGATGTACCATATTCGGCCCATCACCCCTGCTTCATCTCTTTACCTGTGCACTGGTGTTGATGCTTTTGTCGTGGTGCATTTAAACCACAGTTTCCCATTCGAACCAGGAAACTGGCTTAATCTCTGATTACTAACCAGGGATATACAGTGGTACCTCGGGTTACATACGCTTCAGGTTACAGACTCCGCTAACCCAGAAATAGTACCTCGGGTTAAGAACTTTGCTTCAAGGATGAGACAAGAAATCGTGCTCCGGCAGCGCGGCAGCAGCAGGAGGCCCCATTAGCTAAAGTGGTGCTTCAGGTTAAGAACAGTTTCAGGTTAAGAATGGACTTCCGGGACGAATTAAGTACTTAACCCGAGGTACCACTGTATATCTAGAATCTGATCCCAGTTAGTAAGTCAAAATTAAACCAGAGATTCTGGAAACTGTGGTTTGCACAAACCACAATAGAAACAACACCATGCTGGTATGCAGCGGGGAGTATGTGGACAGGCTACTTGTTCTCAGCTTAGTAAATAATGGCTTATTAATTCAAGGAAGTGTTGTGCGAGGGACGCGGGTGGCGCTGTGGTCTAAACCACAGAGCCTAGGGCTTGCTGATCGGAAGGTCGGCAGTTCAAATCCCTGCGATGGGGTGAGCTCCCATTGTTCAGTCCCAGCTCCTGCCCACCTAGCAGTTCGAGAGCATGTCAAGTGCAAGTAGATAAATAGGTACCACTCCGGCGGGAAGGTAAACAGCGTTTCCGTGCGCTGCTCTGGTTCACCAGAGGCGGCTTAGTTATGCTGGCCACATAACTCGGAAGCTGTCTACGGACAAACGCTGGCTCCCTCGGCCTATAGTGCGAGATGAGTGCTCAACTCCAGAGTTACCTGCAACTGGACCTAATGGTCAGGGGTACCTTTACCTTTTAGTGTTGTCTGAACAAGAACTACTTGCCTTTCACAAGTCAGGATTTTCTCTGGATGTCTTGGGTTTTCTCTCCAGAAGCCCAGTTGCTTCAAAATCATGCCTTTGGGAGGCTTGCTGGATTTTACACAATTGAAAATTATCTTAGTCTTTTGGGTTCTGTGCGGGAGGAAACGCCAATTCATAATTTTGTTAAGCTTCAAAGTGCATCACGATTACTTCCCCTCCCAAATAACAGCTGAATTTTGCAGTGCTAAACCGAATCATTCCCTGTTGCAAAATTATTTTTTCTTTTTCTTTTTTTTACCAAACACTCCCCGCTCCCCAATAACAAGCTAAAGAATCAATAACTCTTTAACTATTTTTCTGTCTAGGGATAGTGCTTAAACAGTAACTTCATATTGCAATCTAGTGACATTTGCTAGTGGAAGCAATCAATTTAATTTAATCATCACGAAGGAGTGTAAGAAAAATGGAAGAATAGGTCAGTGCTTTAGGAACAAATCCCTTAATAGCTGAAATAATGCAAGCTGTGGGGTTTGAGTGGCAACAACATAAGAATACAATTTATTATTAATGGTAATCATTTCATTTATGTCACGCCTTTCTCTCCAAGGAGCTTAAGGTGGTGTACACGGTTTCCCCTCTTCTAATTTACTGTAATTTTCGCTCCATAAGACGCACCTGACCACCTAGTTTTTAGAGGAGGAAAACAAGAAAAAAAAAATTCTGAATGAAACAGTAGATGTATGATTTTTGAGGTTCATGCTGTGGCCACAGACATGTGATCTGATGGTGAATTTGGGGTAACCCAATGCAAAAATCCTGAGGATCCATGTGGATCCGTGCTTTGTAACCACGTTTTTGCACCATTGCGGTCCCACGCAACAGTGGGTGCATGATTTTGCTTTAGTTTTCTTGTTTCCCCCCTTTGCAAATTTGCTGTCTTTACCTCTCCCCTCCCAGGCAGTCTCCTTTATCTCTAGCGTCCCATATCTCTCTCCCCGATCGGCAAATGATCAACGGCTTTGTTTCAACACCCACTTCCCGCTTTCAAAAAAAAAGCATGATCTGCTTTTTGCCCCTGGGCAATTCGGCTCCAAGGACCACACATTCGCTCCATAAGACGAACAAACATTTCCCCTTTCTTTTTAGGAAGAAAAAAAGTGCGTCTTATGGAGCAAAAAATACAGTAATCCCAAAAACAACACCTTGAGATAGGTTAGACTGAGAGTGAGTGACTGGCCCAAGGTAACCCAGGGAGATTCATACCTGGGCGAGGATTTGAACCCTGGTCTCCCAGATCCAAGTCTCAACACACTGCACCACTGCAGGCTCTCAGAATTCATGTATGTACACCTAATGTAGAAAGTAACTAAAAATCACCCCTGCGTTTTTGTCTCTTGTTTGCCTGCAACCATAGGTTTTAGATGAGATTTCTGAACATGGCATAAGGATTTACCAATTACCTGATGCAGATTCTGATGAGGACGAGGAATTCAAAGAACAGACCCGAGTTCTGAAGGTGGGTTCAACATCAACAGGTGCTAAATTAGGCATTTGTCTAATTTAAATGTATTCCTCACGTAGGTGTTAGTTTTGCTATAATTATTGCATATAGGAAGGCATATTTACTTCCCATTTTTGCAGTTGAAATAATACCCTTGACAACATCTCACAACTCCAGTTTCTGAGCCTGTAGCAGAAATTACCTTTACCTTTGCAAAAAAGGTAATATATCAATGATTTTTTTTTTTAAAGAAAGCTTCCCATGAGTTAAAAGTTTGCACTTCAACATAAATGAAAATGGAGATTTCTGTGGAATGTTGTGCCAAAGCTTTTGAACAGTCAGGGTATTAAGTGGCAAGTTGACTCGTACCATCGGCATTATTCATTGATGATCTTATAAAATGGAATTTATTGACTCATCTAGGCTAGCATTCCTTTTGCTGTGATTGGGTCCAACCAACTTATTGAAGTGAAAGGGAAAAAGATCAGAGGTCGCCTGTATCCCTGGGGAGTGGTGGAAGTCGAGAATCCGGAGCACAATGACTTCCTGAAGTTACGCACCATGCTGGTGTAAGTAGAGTCCCTTATTTAGTCTTAAACTACAGGCATCTATAACAAAATGTGTTTGTCAGAGAGAGATGCCTCTTGTACATACTGTCCACAAAAACATGTTCGCCTTCTTAGCTGCATGGTTTATGTGAGACCTCTGCTTCTTTCTTTATACTGAAACTGCTTTTGTCTTTTGTTTATTGGCTAAATAATCAATAAAAAGACGTTGTTAGGAAATAGGTGGCTTGCTTAAATTCTGGTTTGCTTTAATTGGAATGTACCGTATTTGGAAGCAGAAATCCCTAAAGGAATTTAAATTGGAAATGTCAGGATGTTTCAGAATTCATCTTGATCATATTGCAGCTCTGATTGGCAAGGGGAGTTCTTGGAATCTGAGTTATTTCAATATTTGCTTTTGCAAGAGATTGAAGTTGATTTTAGTTTTATTCTGCAATGTGTATCTGTTCTGAATCATAGCCACAAGATATGTTATAGCTTCCTTGTCAATGTACAGATTTCTCTCTTTCACCCCTCCTCGACTAATGCATGTTATCTCCTCTAACAATGCAATTGAACCAAAAAAGATTTGAAACAAGTCAAGCGGAGCATTCCTTGCAGCAAGTGCTGAGAAACTAAATATAGTAAAATTCCAGGAATATGTTAGGGTTGATAATCCAAAAAGTGCTACTTAGCTGTGTGACTCTTAATAATGTCTGAGTTATTCCTCCTAGGGTAATTCCATTAATCAGGCTTTGTGGGTTACAGCAATTCTGTGGCATTTGATTCCATTATACATCCTTGGCTTGGTAAAGTTCCAGTCAAAGATTTCCCCCTGCTGGATTGTTTCCATGTCACATGTGACGTTCACCTTTGAAGCCACAGTGATAGCGAAGACTATTTCTGCAAGTAAGGTGGAGGTCAGATTCTATATTTTATTGTGTCTGTAGGTCAAGTGAAAAGGCTGACTTGATGGAAGAGTACATTCACTTTACATGCTACTGTTCCCCCCCCCCCATCTTCCTTCACAAATGATACTTTCCAGGCTAGGAAGTTCCTCTTAGCATCACATTTAAGAAAACATCCCAGATAAATACTTTTCTAAAGCAGGTGGACCTGTGCGAAGCTTACCAATATGTATCACCGCAGTAGAGAATTGTTGAGGATGTGGGTTGTAGGAACAGAATACTGTCTGTTTTTGAAGTTTGGAATCGGTTAAAATTTAAATTAAGCTTATGGATCTTGTCATTGAAAATACAGGAAATATAGCATTTCAGTTATTATGGGTTAGTAAAAATGGAGAAAACTATTCATCCATTCATTCATTGAATTTATATACCACCCTATACCTGCAGGGCTCAGGGCAGTTCACAGAATAAACAGTGGATTGGGGGAACATAGGAGGCTGCCTTATATTGAACCAGACCATTGGTCTACTTGCTCAGTATTATCTGCACTGACTGGCAATGCCTCTCCAAGGGTTCAGACATGGAGTCTTCCCCATCTTTAAACAGTCACTGCTTCCACAAAGAATCCTGGGAAAGGTCGTTTTAGGATGCTGAGAGTTGTTAGGAGAGACCCCTCTTCACCCAACAGAGATCCTTGGGATTGATTGTGAAACCACTCTGGGAATTGTAGTTCAGTGAGGGGAATAGGGATGTCTTCTAACAAATCTCAAACACTTTACAGACTGCAATTCTCAGCATTCTTTGACAGAAGCAGTGACTCTGTGGTGGTATAATAGTACTTTAAACATATGGTGTGGAGAGTATGGGCCTGAAACAAGATTTCTCTGTTTATTTTTTTTAAATAGTGGTTGAATTTTCTATTCTTAGCCCAAATTTATGTATTTGTGGGCTCCTCAGTTGTTTTTGTTGAGTTCTGTGTTGCCCATTTATAACTTCATTCTGTTTTTATTACATGTATAAATTTCCTTGCACGTGGATTTCAGGTACAGTTGTACCTTGGAAGTCAAACGGAATTTGTTCCAGAAGTCCGCTCGACTTCCAAAATGTTCGAAAACCAAAGCATGGCTTCTGATTGGCTGCAGGAAGCTCCTGCAGCCAATCGGAAGCCATGGAAGCCTTGTTGGACATTTGGCTTCCAAAAGAATGTTCGAAAACTGGAACACTCACTTCCGGGTTTGATCGTTCTGGAGCCGATTTGTTTGGGAGCCAAGGTGTTCGAGATCCAAGGTACAACTGTACTTTGGCCAGGAAGTGGCATGAAAAAAAGCATTGGCATGAATCATGTCTGTAAAGGCTGTGATGCTTCTTTTTATCCAGTTAAGAGATGAACCTAAGTTAATAAAAATTGACTCAGGAGCTACTGGCAAAGGAAGTTAAAAGCTGCGTTTCTCGTTTCAGGACCCACATGCAGGATCTTCAAGAAGTGACTCAAGATTTGCACTACGAAAATTTCCGGTCAGAGAGGCTAAAACGCACCGGCAAGTGAGTCTCTCTCTTGAGTTGTGCTTTCTCCCTTATGACTCTGCCCAGCCTTGCTCTTAAAAGTAGCTTCAGAAACAACCCCCTCCCCAACTCCTGTATCTGCTGATCTCATTCTCGTAACCTCTCCCTTCCTTTTCCTAGCCTGAAAACACACATGGAAACCAAGGGGAAGGGGCTCCTGTTTTAAATTGCTTCCTCTGTGTTAATTAACGGGAAGAAACCACTGATCCAGCTAGGATGGTGTGTGTGTGCGTGTGCATGCAAGCTCCAGAAAGTATACCAGCTAAGGACTTTGTGAAATATCACATCTCTCTCCCCCACCCAGTATTCATTCAGTAATTGATGTAATCTTTGGGTTGTATCCAAACTTGTCTTGTTTCCGCAAGAACTGCAGCTTGCTCAATGGAGAGTCCACTCCCCTGCACCCCCCAGATCTGTCCTGGGGATTCCCCTGATCCTCTGGAGGTGTCTTTAGGTATGTGCAAATGGGTCGACCTTGTTGGATGCAACCCTTTATTCTTAAGTTGCCCATCTGACTTGGGCCTTTTAGATAGATATGGGGAATATGCATACAAACATTGAAATCTGCCTTATACTACGTCAGGCTGTTTGTTCATCTAGCCGTATTATGCCTGTTCTGTCCGGCGGCAGCTCTCCAGACCAAAATCTTCTCCCAATGCTGCTCCCTGAGATCCATAATCTAGGATTGTGACACACTGTAGCTCTGTAGTACAGCACATGCTTTTCATACAGAGAGTCCCAGGCTCAGCCATTGGAATCTCCAGTTAAAATGGATCGGGTAGCTGGATATGGGAAAGCCTGAGTCCCTAGAGAACTGTTGCCATTGTAGACGATAGGTGACAGTTAATCTGACCTGGCATAAGTCTGCTTCTGGTGTTTTAAACTAAATATTTTAAGGACTGAGCCTTCTGCATCCAATGCTGTTGCCCCTTCCCTGTCTCATGCGTAGATCTCACAGCAATTCCTATATGTCTTGCACATATCTTGTATATTTTAAAACAGCATGCGCAGATGGTCACAGTGGACTGCGTTCAGAGTCCCTATTTGCAGACTGCACTGGAAAAGCAAAGGGCTGTTTTCACACATGTTCATCTATTGATGTCAAGTTGAGATCTGTGTGCCTGAATGAACCAGCCCCAAACCAAATCAAACACCATATGGACAGAACTTTTAAATGCCCTCTCAAATGCAGTGTGTTCAATGCTGTTATAACTCACTAATTCAGCTGTGGCTTGTTGAGTGCCGAGGAATCAGTCAAGTGGTGTTCATGCCTGTGAGGCTCGACTCTTCAACCTTCAGAAATGTGCAGTGGTACCTCGGGTTACATACGCTTCAGGTTACATATGCTTCAGGTTACAGACTCTGCTAACCCAGAGATATTACCTTGGGTTAAGAACTTTGCTTCAGGATGAGAACAGAAATCGTGCTCTGCGGCACAGTGGCAGCAGGAGGGCCCATTAGCTAAAGTGGTGCTTCAGGTTAAGAACAGTTTCAGGTTAAGAACGGACCTCCGGAATGAATTAAGTATGTAACCAGAGGTACTACTGTAATCCAATGATTCTTGATTGAGAATGTCCCAGCTTCCTTCTCTCTGTGTTAATTTTATATAACCAGGCAAATTATCTTGACTAAAAATGTCTTAATTCCTCTTCCTGATGCCACTCTAAACTCACTTCAGTCCCTCTGTGTGAATATTGTGCCCTTGACCATTCTGTTTCTAGTGTGTGAATCTTTTCTGTTCGTGTTGTGCCTTTCCTGACAAAAAAACTTGTTTCTCTTTGATATCGCTCGGCGCGAGAGTGCAGAAATATTTCTAGTTAAGGAAATGACTGTGTGTGTCTGGGCTGGTTCTTTGTTTTATAACTTGGTGCCATAGGGTGTGGGTAGGGGGGTAGGCAGAGGAAATGGCTCCACTGAAGTGTAGGACAGAATTAGGGTGTAAAAATCCAGGAAATTCCTTATACAAAACAAGAGTGAAGAATGAGAAGGTGACAGCTGCAAGGCTGCCTGGGCTTGAGAAAACTGCAGAAAGGCAATTCCTCCTTTGCATTTTTAGAGAAGGGTTACAATATGGAAACTCGGGTCAAATCATTGTCTGAATTCTAATTGGTTACAGCTACAGCAGTCGGTAAATGAATAAAACAGTTGCCCTGAAGCAAAAAAAACATATTTCTTTGCTTTTTAGATCAGATGTTGCCAGACTCCCAACTTGCATCAGCCTCAACCAGCACGGCCAGTGATCTGGGATGTTGAAAGTTATAGTCTAACAACATCCCTGTTTTTAGATAATGCAGGGCTTAATCCCAGAAGAGACGTTCCCACCTGTAAAGGAGGAAATGCCTCTTCTAAGACGGTTTTTGCCACCTGCATATTTGTAAGAACTTGCATTGAAAACACGTTGTTTTTTAAAAAATCTGTCTGATTAAAGGAGCTAGGTTTCTTTTCCAGCTGAACAAATTATTTTTAATAAAACCAATTTGTCTAGTTGGCTGCATTATGTTTCTGCTCAAGATCTGAACCCTTGTCCTTTAGCGCCTGTGATGCTAATGTGCATTTCTTGTACCTGACAGGCCTGTTGAAGAAGAAGTTGTGGACAAAGACAGGATCCTTCAGCAGAAGGAGGCTGAGGTAAGCTTGCGAGCAAAACTAAGTTAACATCTCATTAGCAGCGAGGCGCTCGGCTGAGTTAATGACATTCTGAATGAGTGCAAATAAAAATAAATCCATTTGAGTACAATCCTTATTTCTGGCATCAGAAGAGCCCTGTTGGATCGGACCAAAGGCCCATCTTGGTCTCGCATCCTGTTGTCATAGTGGCCAACCAGATGCTTCCGGGAAGTCCAGAAACAGAACTTGAGCACCATACTCCTCTTTCAACTGGTATTCAGAGGCACATTATTTACTTAAAAGCATTTATATACGCTTAATACTTTGAATGGGACGTGGGTGGCGCTGTGGGTTAAACCACAGCGCCTAGGACTTGCCGATCACAAGGTCGGCGGTTCGAATCCCCCCAATGGGGTGAGCTCCTGTTGCTCGGTCCCTGCTCCTGCCAACCTAGCAGTTCGAAAGCACATCAAAGTGCAAGTAGATAAATAGGTACCACTCTGGCAGGAAGGTAAACGGCGTTTCCGTGCGCTGCTCTGGTTTGCCAGAAGCAGCTTAGTCATGCTGGCCACATGACCCAGAAGCTGTACGCCAGCTCCCTCGGCCAATAAAGCGAGATGAGCGCCGCAACCCCAGAGTCGGTCACGACTGGACCTAATGGTCAGGGGTCCCTTTACCTTTTAATACTTTGAATAACTCTAAGAGGCATACAGTCTAAAAAAAGAAACTATATATCACAAAAAAACCAAAGCGCAACCTGAAACCAGTAAAACAGCATTATATAAAAAGACACACACAAGCACATACAAATGAATGAATTTGTCTCCTGCCCTTTTAAAGCCATCCAGGTTGGTGGCCATCGACACACCTTGTGGAAGTGAACCCCACAGTTACAACTATGTGCTCTATGAAGATGTTCTTCCTGTTGCCTGTCCTGAAGTGCCCTTTCTTCTGCTTTATTGGATCATCCCCTAATTTTAGTACAATCATACCTCGGGATGTATACGCTTCAGCTTAAATATTTTCGGGTTGCTCTCCGTGGCGACCCAGAAGTAACGGAATGTGTTACTTCCGGGTTTCGCCGCTTGCGCATGCGCAGACGCTCAAAATGGCGTCATGCGCATGCGGGAAGCAGCAACCCGCGCATACGCGCAGTCGCGTCTTACGTTCGATTCAGGATGCGAACGGGGCTCCGGAACGGATCCTGTTTGCATCCAGAGGTACTGCTGTATTGTGAGTGAGGACCCACCTGCTTTCTTCACACCACTCCTATTTTAACACACCTGTGTCACGTCCGCCTCCCTGCACCTTATTCAGCTTTTTTTCTAATATGAAAAGCTGCAAATGTTGCACCTCTTTTTTCATAAGGGAGCTGCAGTCTCTCAGTCGTTTTGGTTGTCCTTTGCAGCATCTTTTCCAGCTCTATGATGTACTTTTCCTAGTGCAGCCACCAGATCTGTGCACGGTATCCCATATCCTTGCCCGCTCCAAAAGTGTGGCCCATAGTATATTATTCCACTTCTGTTTGATAGCTAAACATCTGGCGCCCACTGCTGGCTGCTTCTACTTGTCACAGCCATCTATCTGTTCCCCACCTTACTTCAAATATGTAAATCCTTTCACATCGGAAGCTGGCATGTTAGCAGAGAAGAAGTCTTGCAGTCCAGATTAATTTTTGACATGCTAGTTTCCCCCCTGTAGGAATCCTCCCCTTTCTCCCCACCCCTGACCCCCAACAAGGTGCGGGAACATTTTATCAGGGTGAAGTGGTTAAGCCTAGATTCAGGTTTGAGAACGAGGCCTAAGACAAATTTGTTAATAGCTATGTTTGGGTGAAGTTGGCCTCCAGTTAATCAGTGGGGAAGCCTTTGTTTTATCTATACAGTGGTACCTTGGTTTACATATGCTTCAGGTTACATACACTTCAGGTTACAGACTCCGCTAACCCAGAAATAGTACCTCAGGTTAAGAACTTTGCTTCAGGATGAGAACAGAAATCATGCTATGGTGGCGCGGCGGCAGCGGGAGGCCCCATTAGCTAAAGTGGTGCTTCAGGTTAAGAACAGTTTCAGGTTAAGAACGGACCTCTGAAACGAATTAAGTACCACTGTAGTTGATTAGGATTTTCACATTGTTACAATAAAATATTGCAGTCCCCTATTACCTGTCCGCCTCCCAGTTCCTCTACCTCCCTCAGCCCTTGTGTGTTTGTTCCCCATCCTTTTTAATCACAACTTTTCCATTTTGGTTGTTCATTGTTTGGCGTGTCAGCCTTGCATGCTCAGATAAGGGTTAGTGCCATTTTGGGGGTCCCGGATGAACAACCATTATTACATCTGAGACATCTCCCTCCCTGCATTGTCCCTCCCACTGCTTCTGGTTGTGTAGGTATTAGTTCCAAAACTGCACTCCAAATTTCTTGGAAGCTTGGCTTCGTGCGTAGCTTACGGAGCAGGATTTTGTCAAGGGCCGCTAATGGCAGGAGGTCTTGTAGGAGGAAGCCTTTATAAACTGGAAGAGTGTTGGCTCTTATTTTCTTTTGAGCCTGCTAGCTTCCCCTGAACGATGTAATGTTTGTTTGTATCACATTTAATCCCCCCATTCCTCATAGTTGCTCAGGGTGATGCAGATGGTTCTTCCTTCCCTCCCCCTCTGTCTGCACAGCAGCCCTGTGGGGTAGATTAGACCAAGATTGGCCCAAGGTGACCTAGTGAACTTCACGGTCGCCAGAGGCGCTGAACCTGAGTATCTCTGGTTCCAGTCCAACACTAACCATTACACCACTTTGGCTGTCCACACATAGGGGCGTCAGTGCTGATTCTGAAATGTGGAAGAGGCTAGAAGCTTTTTCCTTGGGTGGATTTCTCAAAAAGTCTTTGCCAAGAGTTTGACTTCTGAGCGGAGTCTGAGTCTTGGCTGAACGTAGCAGCTGTTAGCTTAACCTACCATGCAAGATGCCGTGATAATATTGATGTTGACTCTCCTCTTTCCTGCTGAGTTTCCCTGTTCCAGGGTATTTGGCAACTGTCAGCAAAACAACAGAGAAGCAAACCACCCGTCCTTTCCCCCTCTTGAACGCTCCCGAATGTATTTCCAAGCCTCTTTGTTGTATAAATATAAAATGTACAATGAAACATGATGAGCGTATTAAGAATGCACATTTATTGTGCAAATGCAGAATGGGAGGACGTTTGGTGAGATGGACAGCTCCCTTATCCTGTTTCTACAGCTACCCACTAGTGCAGACAGCGAGCAGCTTCCCCACATAGGGTGGGGAATCTGTGGCCCTCCTAATGTTGCTGGGCTGTCATCTCTTCATCAACTCCATCTAGCATGGCCAATGGTCAGGAATGATGGGAGTGCTGGTCTAGCAAGATCTGGAGGGTTACAGGCCTCCCATTCTTGTGTTAGTAGGCACAACACCCACTTTCCCGAAAGTTTCATTATGAAAACTAAAACTGAAAGCAAGCAGACTTCTAGACCTTATGGTTGGAATGTCGTGTATAATTGTGTGTGGACAAATCGGGGCTGGGGAACTGGATCTGGGCAGCACCCTGGATCTATATTGCTCACACCTCCCGCAGAACAAGTTTGATAGGTAAGCAAGTCTGCTTCCCTGTCAATTGTGACATAAGGTGACCCGTTTTTGCATAGTGTCGTGCACCACGCAAGCAGTGAAGTATCAAAGCCCGCAAAGAATCTTGCGGTACCTTTAAGGGACTAGCAAATTTATTGTGGCGAAAGCTTTTGGAAGCTGAAGAACATCATGACTGCCATCGCTCTGCCCACTTGTGATTCCTAGCAATATTTAGAGGCTATTTGCTTCCGACATTGGAAGTAGAACATAGCTATAATGGCTAGTAGCTCTTGATAGCCTTCTTCTCCATTGGATTTGTCTAATCCCCTATTTGGTTAATTTGCCTGGTTGGTGGCTAACGCTACTTCTGTTCCTAACCTTGGTTGCAAACACTGGATTGAAGCAGACCAAGTCTGTTTTTTAAGTCCACTTCATGAATAGTTGTCCTAAACTGGCAGGTAGGCACTCATCTGGGTACCCAGAAATATCAGTGTAAGTAGTGAAGTTGGCTCTCGAATTTTGGAATTGTTAGGAAGCCATTAACCATGGTTTCCAATCTGCGCGTGGTCAGCTGCTGCTTTGTGGTGTGTTTGCTGCTCAAGCAGAGTGACAGCAATGGAGTGGCATATGGGTGCATGCTACTCATGTATATCCTGCCTTATTAAGCCAGGATTCCGTTGCAGGAATGAGGCCAGTGCATTTTAATGTTTCTTTTCGGAAGGGATTAAGTGACCTCCTCTGTGCCTTAGTTTTGAATTTATATACAAATATACGTTGAAGGCTTTTGGCTGTATTTGGAGGGGGAGCTCCTTGTGAGATAGGCCTGCCATAAACAGCTGCCGTTTTAAAGTTGGGAAGGATTGGACAGATATTGCAAGAAAACAAATGTTTGTTGAATTCCTGTTGTCTGTCATTTCTGTTAAGGACCGAAGAGGCTTTGCTTAGTCTTGTGTAGATAAGGTGGCACGAAATCTCTTTATCTCCAAAGCAGTCTGCTGAGGAGTCGAGTTGGGGGAGGACTGGGGGGTTAGGGGGCAAACCAGAGGAAATGGGCTTACATTCTTTGGCCTTTGCTGAGAACACAAACATCAATTTCCCTTTCTGTTTTTACATTCTGAGCAGTAATGATGCTTGAAGTTCTATTTACAGATTTGCAAGGTTTACATAACCTCGGGGGTGGGGGGTGGGGGATGAAGTCTTGGGCAGGTGCCAGGTCCACCATTATCAAGACATCACTTCTGCTAAATAATCATTATGGATTTTATCAAAGGACACTGTGCTTGGCTGGTTGGAGCCATTAATCTCTTGCCTGCTTTCTTCAACCGTGTTGCAAGATCATTTCGGACATGTGTAGATTTATTTTTTGCCCTCCCACCAGCAGCTGGCTTTTGTTTTCGGAACTGCCTTTTTTATGCCTTTTCTCCAGATACAAAACTAGCTATGTCTGCAAAGAAGGATATTCATAGGGAGACTTGATAGAGTGACTACCCTTCTGCAGATCTCAAGATGCCATCAAGCACATTTCTGCTATCCTCCTCTGGTCACTTTAAGAAGGATATTTGAGCTTCAAATAGAAATACAACAAGCTGTGTGTTTTGCATTTCATGGCCTGTTTACAATCTTATTCTATATATACATACTGAGTTACTTTGCATGACGCTGTTAACCAAATCCTGGTTTAGCAAGTGCACACAAGTGTGGGGGCTCTGGGACAGGAGTCCCCCCCCCCCCCGGACCTCCTTACTGCTAGGTTTAGCTAAGCCAAAGATTGGCTTTATTCAAGCCAGTTCTCAGAGTTAAGATGGCTCCTCAGTGGCCACCAGTGGTAGCTGGTGTCTATTTGGTACTGGCAGGGTGACCAACAGTAGGAGGAACCAGAGCATGAATGGGTGTAGCTAGAGTCAATGACAAGCAGAGCCAACTCATTCTGGTTTTGTTGTCATCTACCTCAATGCTGAGTTCTACAAGGGCTGAGACTGAGGAGGAGGAGGAAGCAGGTGTTGGCATACTGAGGGCAGACTAAGGTTAGTGGTGCAGTGCCCCAGTCACCCTATGGACTAGCCTCCACTGCTAACCATGAGATGTCACCAATGTTTGTTTTAGATCCATGCCTCCATCAGTGTGGATGCCAGTCCACAAAAGCTTCTGTTACTGTAGACCTGTTAGTCTTCACTGTGCCATAGGATGCTATGTCTACTGTCCTTGTGTCTTACAATCAGTCTACTGTCCTTGTGTTACAAACAATTAGCCTCCTTGTGTGTTACAATTAGTCTATTCCCCCGCCCCCAACAAAAAATTAATAGGGTTGTTTGTTTATGTCTGATTGAACGTTAAGTGTTGAAAATCCTTGTGTGTGTTAGCCATTCCCATGGCTTCTCTAAGGTTCCACTTTACTGCTGTTCGGATCTGCACCTTTTGTAGGGAGACTCTCCACATCAGTGCTTCTCTCCCCCTGCCTTTAGGCCCATTACAGATGTGCTTCAAATGGTCTCTTCATCCACATTACCAGAGACAGAGCAACTCTTCTAGGTGAAGTCCTACCAACATTTTTTTGGGGTGCACGCACCATGGCACCACACATGTTGGCGTGTTCACCTGTTAGATCATACACTTGTTAGGTAAGCTTTCCCCAAGGTGTTGCTTTCCAGGTGTTTGCACTCCAGCTCCCATCAGCTGCAGCTGGTATGGCCAGTGGCCAGGGGTGATGATGGAAATTGTAGTTGAGGAACGTCGGGAGAAGGTTGAACTAGGACAGAGGTGTAGCCAGCGTGGTGTTCTCTGGATGTTCTTGGGTAATTTGCATCAAGCCTCCTCAGCATTTCAAATGGCCAGTGATTGAGTTGTGGTAATAAGAACATCTGGAGGACCCATGTTGGCTACCACTGAACTAGAACAGAAAGTCTCAAAGGCCACTACTGGAAGGTATCATCCTATAGCACTCTGATCTGAAGACTGACCTTATGTCTCTTGCTCAACATTTATACATCTAGCTTAAATCATTTTCTCTTGCTCTGTGCTGCATTAGCTTCTTAAAGCGGTCTTCGTTTTGGAAAATAACCGACATTCTAAAGTAATGCAGAGCAGCTCGTAAATAAACAGTGCTTAGCTAGCAGTAAACATATTCTGTAATTTAACACACATGGCTGTACTGTGTGCACGTCAACTTCTATTTTCCCTCTTCGGCCTCACTATATATCCTATTTCTAGAAATGTTGCTTTTTTTATATTGCAGATTATTAAACCAAAATAAACGCAAGCCTGTACTTAAAGAAGCCACAAGGGGGCGTAATGTGGTACAGGCTTGGCTGCTGTCAACTCCCCAAGGGCTGATAAATAAGTAGATAATGTAGGAATTTGGGAAAGTCAGAAGATAATATTTAACACGAAGCAGTAAGCAGAGCAGGGGCACAAATATAAAAGTTCAATGTGAAGTGAAATTATTCACCCTGGGAGAAATTAGCACTGCTAACAGATGAATAACAGAGGAGTTAACTGTGTTAGTCGGTTACAACAAGATCTCCAAGGTACATTTATGACTCTGCTGGTTTTAACAAGTTTAGGGGGCTTGCTTTTTGAAATGCAGTTGATTATTACATTTACAGTTGCACAAAGCATTCATGTCACAGTTGATCTGTAAGTCTTTGAGGTGCAATGAAACACTCTTCTCTTGTTTGCATGAATGAGAGATGTTGATTTGATTCTGCTGCTTAGGATGTGGGGTCAAGAAGATAACCTTGCTAATTCTGAGAAATGCATGCCAACCAGAACCTGGTGATTAGAAGCTATGGGACTCTCCAGTCCTGGCAGACTGTGACCCTTTCCATGAGTTCAAAAGATAGGGTGTGGGCATAAAGTGTGTAGGAGGAACGGACACACCTTGATTGTTGTGCCTGCTGCATTCCAAAGTTATTTCCCAGTCTGAAGTTGTCCTCTTAGGGCAGAGGGGACAGGGATGTAGGAAGGCATCGTTTTCTGTTCTGCCTTGTAGTCATCACATGCAGCGCTGTTTCCATTCTGCTGCAATTCATCTTCCACCAAAACCCATGTTAATCGTCTTCCATGGTGAAATCATGTAAGTGATTTATGCAATTATTTATGTATTGTTTGTGGACTGAAGCAAACGCAACAGCAAATACCAATGGTGTTTGCTGGGTAGATTATTACTGTTCCAGACGGGACAAATAAGCAACCCACTGGTAATTTCCTCTCCCGTTTACCCCCCATCAGAATTCACCAACATCCATAGTGGGGGTGGTGGTGGCACCTGCACATCTGCTCCTGAACACACACTGTGTTTGCAAGTGTTCAAAGAATGCATGGACAAGGCTTATCATTAGCAAGATCCAGATCTGCTTAAAAGCTGCCAGCATGGGAGGATGGACCACAGCATGTCCTCCGCCTTTGCCTTCTCATTTGTCTGTCTTAAAGTGCAGGGGTGGCTAACCTTTTTTTGGCCCGAGGGCCGCATTCATCCTTGGCCAAGCCCTCCGGGGGCCACTTGCCAGTGTTGGGTATGGCCCAAATTGGGTGTGAGCTCCCCATGCCCATCCACACGCTTCCTCCTTAGCCGATCCATGTAGATTATCAGGGTAGGGGAAATTTCTGTCCCTGTTACAGAACTGGGCTGAATAGGCAGGTGCCCACACGAGCACTGTGCTTATTTCACAAAATAAAAATATTCCTTGCTGTTGCAGCTTAAGCTGCAGTAGCAGTAATAATAATAATAATAATGATAATGATAATACCCTGCCCATCCGGCTGTGTTTCCCCCAACCACTCTGGGTGGTTCCCAACAGATTAAAAACAGAATAAAACATCAAATATTAAAAACTTCCCTAAGCAGGGCTGCCTTGAGATGTCTTCTAAAAGTCAGATAGTTGCTTATTTCCTTGAAATCTGATGGGAGGGCGTTCCACAGGGCGGGTGCCACCACCAAGAAGGCCCTCTGCCTGGTTCCCTGTAACGTTGCATCTCGCAGTGAGGGAACCTCCAGAAGGCCCTCAGAGCTGGACCTCAGTGTCCAGTTCCAAGCCCTTTTGGAGGGTGAGGTTAGCCACCCTTGTTCCACAGTGGCCATCGAGTTGCCTCTGGGAAGCCCAGAATAGGACATGAGTACACTGGCTTCAGTGAGTCTTTGGTGGCCTGCTGTCTTTCATACCTGATGGTACAGGGCAAAAACTTCCAATCTCTGCATTGGTTCTCATGTAGCAAGGGACTTTTCTGAGTTGTCTGTTCAAAGTTCTTAGATTCCCCCTGCCTTGCCCCACAGAAGGCTTATTTTCAGGTTTTCTAAATTCTTGTTAATTTTTTTTGGGGGGGGGGAAGGGGGACAATAATTTTGCGTCCTTTATTGTTCAACTTGTTCTAAATACAAAGATGGGGGAGAAAACTGTTGTCCATAAATAGCTGGGGCGCAGCAGCTTGTCACACTTGAAGAATGTCTCTTTTATGATGCCCAAAGAAGTCCCATGGAAAAAAAAGTTTCCCGCGGGAGACTTGAAAAAAATAAGCATGAAAACTGGCTTCTGATTGTGTGTGGGTTTTTTGGCCTGTGCGCAGCGAGATTAGTGGCTAGTTAAAAATACCTTGAATACCAAAGAGTGCATTTAGCATCGTGGGAACGTCTTCCTGTTATTTGCTTCTCCACGGCCCTGAAACTTCTCTTGGTCCTTCACTCTGCAATCCTCTGCTGGGTTTTATTAGTTAAGAGGTGGCTATTTCTGTCTCTCTCAGTTTTAGTTGGCTAAACGGCTGACAGGCTCTGCAGCGCTCCTGGTTGTCTCCTATTTTTCCCTTTCCTTTTGTCCATAGTAGGGCCTTGTATGATCTCCTGGAGGAATCTCTGTGGCTCAGTTGTGCTGGACAACTAGTCAAAACATGCCCTCCATCAAATAAATAGCCGCTTGTACCCATGATGTATAAGACTAGAAATGCATGCAGTTTATTTGAATGTTTTATAATACAGTGGTACCTCGGGTTACATACGCTTCAGGTTACATACGCTTCAGGTTACAGACTCTGCTAACCCAGAAATAGTGCTTCAGGTTAAGAACTTTGCTTCAGGATGAGAACAGAAATTGTGTTCCGGCGGCGTGGCGGCAGCAGGAGGTCCCATTAGCTAAAGTGGTGCTTCAGGTTAAGAACAGTTTCAGGTTAAGTACGGACCTCTGGAACGAATTAAGTACTTAACCCGAGGTACCACTGGATACACCATATAGTCCCATTATTGGGGTGTTAGGGGAGGGGTGGTACCCCTGGTGGGGGGCACGTCATGCCCCTGGGTTAGTTTGTCTGCCTAATAATAATAATAATAATAGTAATAATAATAATAATAATTTATACTCCGCCCATCTGGACCTCAGTGTCCGGGCAGAACGATGGAGGTGCCTTGCACTCGGTTCTCACCTGTGGCTTCTAGAAGCTGTCAGCATGTGACAGTGGATACACCCCAGGAATGGCTTCAATTAGCCAGCTAAACCAGGTGAGGGTAGTTGATGGGTCTCAAACCCTCAGTGAGTTAGGGGCATCCCCTGCAAGCGCAGACAGCCCCTGGCAGATTATGGGTCCAAGGGTCAAGAAAGCTGTTTCTGCATGTGCTGTAAAGGGAAGTGAGGGGCAGATGAGGCTCATCAACCTGGGAAGGTAGCTCATCTAGGACAGCCTTTCTCAACCTGTGGCTCCCCAGATGTTGTTGAACTACAACTCCCATCACCCCCAGCTAGCAAGGCCAGAGCTCAGGATGATGGGAGTTGTAGTCCAACAACATCTGGGGACCCACAGGTTGAGAACTGCTGATCTAGGAGAAGGAAAGCTCTGATCCTACACCTCTGCTGCCTTGTGGGATATATTTGGGGGGAGAAAAGGTGAAGGATTAAATCCTACACAAATCCAGAGCGGAGTCCCTCAAGACTCTTGGATAACGCCCTGTACGCCGCCTCCCAGCTACTCCTGCAGCCAAGCTGGTGCCGAATATATTGCTTTCCTTTCCTTTGGACCCCATCAGCACAGCCATCAATCCACCACCAATCACCTGCCTCTATCTTATTTGGTGGAGATGCCCTGAGCAGGGCCTTGACGTGGGCTCTGAATCATGGCTGCTCACGTGCTCTTTCCTCGGCCTGTTTTTCAAATCAGTTGAAGCAGACATCCTTTCCTATGGATGGTTGAGCTTGCTGCTTTTACTTTCTGCCAGCCAGCATGAGTGTGTGTGTGTGTGTGTGTGTGTGTGTGTGTGCGCACACACATACACACACACACTCGCAGGGAGAGAGGGGAAAGGGAGCTCGTTTTCTGCCCTGAATATTTATGAGAGGCTCTTTGTTTCCTCCTCGTAAAGGTAAATGTCACGAGGCCAGATCATTTCAGTTCTTTACACGGAACGTAGGATGAGCAGTCTGCCTTGAAAAGCTCCTGCCGGCACCGCTGAGCAGATGGGTTTTAATGATACTGTCAGTTTAGAGTGTTGAAAACGACTGCTCATTCCCAAAGGGAACGTGTCCCCCCACCCCCAAGAGGGTGCATTCGATGCAACCTTGTTAGGGGTCACTGAAATTAAGTCTTGTGTATAAATACATGCAGCAGCCTTATCCACCATCCTGGTGCCTTCTCAGTGTTCTGAACTACAGCTCCCACCAGCTCCTGCCAGGCAGGCAAAGACCACATCCACTGGCCTTGATGCCCTTGGAGGAAGGAGGCAGGGCTTTGGCTATGACCAGCTCCAAGTTTGAGGAGGCTTTGGCCAAAGTGCCTTCCTCTGCCCGAGCGCCCTGGAAAAAATGTATGTGGTAGTGGTGAGTCGCAGCAATGATAGGCGACTGAGACTAACTGCCATTTTCATTTCCCACAATGACCCAGTATTGTGGTTTTGGAGCCTTTTGGGAAACTTGAATGGCAGCTAAACCCAGGTGCCTGAAAAGGGTTGTTGTGGTTGTTGTTACAAAGGTGTCTTAGAGAACATAGAATCAATGAATTGTAGAGTTGGAAGGGAACATGAGGGTCCTCTAGCCCAACCCCCTGCAATGCAGGAATCAATCAATCAATCTTTATTACAGTCCAGAGACCCAACAAATTGTTACAAAGCAATGCACAATTCAGACAGCCTACCTCCAGGTTAAACAAGCATTGCAATGCAGGAATCTTTTGCTCAATGTGAGATTAAGAGTCTCATGTGCTACTTACTTAACTATTCATGTTAGTTTTATGCCCTGATGAAGCTGTGGCAGCTTTCTGAGAATGCCAGGTGCTCCTGATAGCCCCGATTTAATATTATATATGTAAAACGGCTGGCAGTCCTGTTGATTTGATGTGCGGGGTGCCTTCTCTATTTCCTGTTCCTATAAATGTCCCTGCCTTTCCTCCCATGAATTCCTTTCCCTACTGACTATTTGTATTTTTAATGTCTTTATATCCCTGATCTCCGACGAATTACAGTTAAGGTAGCTTATGAAAATAATAAAACAAGGAATTATAGCTCCTTTAAGTGTTAGTAATTTTTAAGAGCCATCACGATAAAATGCAAGAAGCGGCTGCAGCAGGATAAGGCAACGCAACTGCCACCTCTCTGCCTTAGGGCTTCTGTTATGACATGCCTTAGGCCAGGCTGCAACTCACCAGTTTGCTAACCAACCAGTTCAGAGGTGATGAGCCTGCTGCCCCTCCAGATTCTGTACTGGCCCTGCTGGGGTGTGGTTGGTGGGCCTGGGGAACTGGTGTCCCAACAACATTTGGAGGGCTACAGGTTACCCCCACCCGTAAGCTAGTTGAAAACCAGGGCCTTAGTTGACAAAGCAGAGGCAAACCAAACACCCTGGCCAAATCAAACCCTGCAAGATAGGTTTTCATGGCATTTGTTTTAACTGTGCTAGGAACTTGTTTAAATTGTGCTGGGCATTTAGAATTCTCTTTCCTTCTTCCGTACAGTTGCGTCGTATGCAGGAGATGATTGCTCACATGCAAGCCCAGATGAGGCTGAAGCCTGGCGACGAGTGAGACGGTTCACCAGGCCGCTGACGGTAGGTGTCACTTCACATTTTGGAGGCCTTGGCTGTAAAAGCGCATGCAGGTCAACTTTCAGCAGCAGCAACGAAGAAACAGTGGGGGTGGGGGTGCAGCACCTTGGAAAATAAAAGAGCAACAACCGTAAGCACGCAGAGGAATGACTAGGCTGGCAGTTTTGTGTTGACGAGAAAATGCAAAGCAGTACGATCAGATTAAATTCCAGCTTTCTGTAATAAATGGATTTGTGTATATGGTTCCTTTGGTCCTCGAGGGGCCATCGGGCTACATTGCATAGCTTGGCAGGAATGAGCCCTGCCTGGAGGCCTCTTCTGGCTTCAGAAAGGTAGGTACACTTCTCATGTTTTCCCCCTAAACTATGGAAATCGAAAACATAGGGGGGAAAGCGCACGAAGTTTGTTGCTACTGTTGCTGAATGCTCAAGTTTTAAGACACCCAGCTTTGGTTTGCTGGTCCTCTGGAATGTAAAGCCTGAGTAAAAATGGTTTATATTCTACCTTATGACCGCGTGACAAGCTGCCAACATTCCAGCCCTTAAATAAGGAGTTTTTTGTTGCCTCCACTTGAACCTTTGCTTTTCCTGTTTGCATTAAAAGCACACGCACACAGCCCTTCTACGTTGTTGTAGACATCTTAGCTAGCTACAAACCACTTTCCACAGTTCAGGAAGCCTGTCCTGATATTTCACCAAGAAGCTAAACAGATGATGCGGTTTAAGAACACTTAGGGGTTTTTTTGTTCAAATTACTGGACAGGAACAAAGTTAGGCTTTCAGCAGCAATGGTAATAACGTCCTTTACCAAAATGGCACCTGCATGATTTCCCCAAACTGCAAGATAATCATGGTAACTGAGGGGGGTTGCGGGGAGAGAAATAGGATTCATGGAACAAGTGAAGGCAAGGGAGGCGGTGCTGGACTTCATGAATGAACATACGAGGATTGGAAGCATCTGTCCACCTGGTCTTGAATGGACCTTCATGAATCCTTCCAGTCTCAGAGCTATTTGCAGATTGCATTTGCTTTTGCATTTAAAATATGAAAACATGGGGAGCGCAAACTTGCTTTTGAATATAAAGGAAGACTCTTTAAAACCAAAAAAACCAAAACCCTGCTACCTTGTAAAATCAAACCCATCTGCTTACAATGGCAGCCAGGAAGTGGTTAAGGACCAGCTGGAATTCTGTTTAAGACAACACTGATGCTATCAGAGGTCTAAACGCCACAGCATTTGGCATTCTGAAAAAGCGATTCAAGCATACAGTCCAAGCCTTGTCCACCTCCTTATGTGGCCTATCTTCCAGCAAAAGGAAGCCTGTTTTCAAAGTTGACTTGCTTCTTTCTGACTAGTATACACTGAAGGTTAAAAAAGACAACAGGGGTTTCGTGTGTATTCAAAAGACCAAAAAACATGTAGCATTGTTAAGAACCTGGGCTCTTAACAAGTTGCAAGCTATTTCAGAATTCTTAGGAGTGTTTTTACTGGAAGAAAAAGAAAATCAGAGGAGCTTAAAAAAGACTAATAAATTTACGCTTTCATAAGCGTTTGTGGGCGAGATGCTACTGCGTCAGATGTGGTCCACTTCTTGATAAAGTGGATTCTAGTCCACAAAAGCTTATGCCATCATAATAAGGTGCCACGAGACTCCTTCCTGTGCCCGCCCCCCCGGGCAGATTAAGACAGCTACTCCTTTCGAAACTATTCAGTGGAAGAAAGTATTCAGAAAGCCTTCCCCCCCCCCCCCCCCCCGTGTTTAGAAGCCCACTTCTAATAATTGGTAGTGCACTTTTGAGATGTCTGTTCAAAACCTTACTGAAATGTTTACAGAATTGTGTGACTGTGAGAGGATCCACACACACACACACACACACACACACACACACACACAGCTGAATGTGTGAAACCATTCATCCTTCAGAATTTGTAGCAGGAAGCCTGGATAAGGGTTATCCATGGCCACACCTTAGCTTGTGTTCTTCTAGAGCAGGGATGGGAAACCTCTGGCTCTCCAGATGCTGTTGGACTACAGCTCCCATCATCCCTGACCATTGACCACCCTGGCTGAGGCAGGAGTGCCTGCTTGGCCCCACGACTTTGGGTGCCCTGGGCTGTGGGTGCCATGCAGCGTGAATGGCCCTTGCGCTGAAATTTGTGGGAGCCCGGGCACTTCATGGGGAATTTTGTGGGTGCTCAGGAGCCCACGGAGCCGGCATCTGTGGGCTGAGGCTGATGGAGGTTCAGCAATATCTCTTCCCCATCCCTGTTCTAGGGGGCGTGTTTAGCATTACAGGCCGAACTGCAGCCTACAGGCTACTGAATTGTTTAACACAGATGGCAAGCAGGAACATAGATAGCTGTCTTACACCAAGTCCTTCCATTGGCCCACCTAGCTCAGTGCTGTCAACTCTTACTGGTAGCCAGGGTTTGGGACAGGGAGTCTTTCTCAGCAGCTGGTACTAATGCCTATTGCACTGGCTCTGTCTTTTTGGGGGCCCAATTCAGAGTGCTGGTTTTGATTTGAAAAGCCCTTCCCTGCTTAGGGTCAGTAGAACTGAAGCATCACTCAAATGTGCCTGTCTGTATGTGAGGATGTAAAGGCCCGTCTGTGGATGTCTTTGTCATCCAAAGCTAGGCTTTCCATCCCTGGGATGGAAAAGATTCCCCACTCCTGCCAGAATGTTGTTTTCAGACTGCCTGAGATGTGCTTTTACTCTTGTTCCCTCTGCCTACTCTGTTACCATTTGACAGACTTCTTTTGAGCTGATAGGAGCACTGGGAGTGGGTGTGGATGAGCACATCAGCACCAGTGCAAGCAAGACTGGGAATGTCTCCTGGCACACTGGATCTGGGATCTGGGAGCCCAACCTCCAGCCCAGAAAGCGCAGTCCTGTCTGCACAGCACAGCAGAGAATCACACTGTCAGCTGATGGATTTCCATCTCTTTCTCAACTCTGCAGGCTTCCCTTTTTTTTTGGCAGCGGGCTCCAATAAAACAATCCCAAGCCTTTTTTTTCTTTTTTGAGTTTTCCAAATTAGACCAGTGCTTTATATTATTATTATTATAACTCATGGCATCTCAATCTGCCTGTGTTGCCGAAATAGCTGCGGTAAGGTGATAGAGATGGCTTTCTGTTTTTCTTTCTGGAAATGAGAATTAGCAACATAAATCTGCCTCCCCCTCCAGATTTTTTTGGCAAAGAATAATCTCCCATCACTAAACTAAAAACTTGCAAGATTGGATTGCCTTCATATTCTGCTCAGTTCGTTTAGGGCAGTCTGCCTTAACTTGTTGCCCTCCCATATTGTTGGACTCCAAGTCCCATCAGCCCCAGCCAGCATTCCCAGTAGTCAAGGATGATGGAAGTTGTTGTCTGAGACATCAGGTTGAGGAAGGCTGATTTAACATAGCAACTGGGGTGTCTTTGGGACAGAGTCAAGAATTTAAACTCTGGAAAAGACTGCGACAATTAACTCATCCCACCTATCTTGTAATGTTCCTGCATAATGATGGAAGAGTTTATTGTGTTTGGCTTTTTTTTTTTTAAGGGGCGTCTTGAGCTACTTTCGCCTAACTTGACCGTATTATCACAACGTGCGGTTTATCTTGCTTTTAAAACCATTAGTCATGCTCCTGACAGGCACATTGCAAATAACTGAAAAAACAGCCCACTCCCTACAATAATGGATACGTGGGGTTCGAAAAGAAAAATATGTGTGGCGTTGCCCTAGCAACCAGACTTTAATCATGGTCCGATGCCAAACTGATGTGATGAGAAAAGTCATCTCGGGGGGTTAGTGGGGGAGGAAGGATGTATTTGTGTCTGTAGCTTCTGATGCCTGGAATGTGAAGCTTAGGCAGAATTCTAGCCTTTTTGGAGCAACCACCTTGTAGCCTCCGGGGTGTTTTGCTAACCAAGGCAGGGTGAGCTGCCCCAACGCTCTGGCTCCCCTGCCTCGCCGTGAGTCACGCCGGCCCGTCTGCTTTGTTGCGTCTGCAGAAAATGTGTTGGGATTTGCTGCGATGAGGTTCACTTGCTGCTTGAAGCTTCCTCCGTCTTTTTGAAGGGTAATGCTGAAATAATGAAAAATTCCGGTTCTTTTTATGCTCTGTGAAGACCTAGAGATTTGTGGCTTTGAAAGAGGGAAGATTTTTCTGGGTGTTTTGTGGTTGCTTGGATCTGCGGATTACGCTCACATGGTAATGATCTTCCTTAACATGAGGTCATTGCGTGCTCCGGTGAGGTGGGAGCAACCCTTTTTCTCCTTAACTCATTAATCTTGTGTGCATCCTGCCTTTCCTCCATGGAGCATGAGGCTCAGTATGTTGCACTCTCATATTCTCAACAGCCCTATGAGGTAAGCTTGGCAGAGAGAGAGAGAGACAGAGACAGAGACAGAGAGTGTCAACTTGACCAAGGCTACCCACTGAGTTTTACGGCTAAGTGGGTTTCCCCTGATGTAAATCTCAGGTCTTAGATAGCTCAGTTAGTTAGAGCATGGTGCTGATAAACGCCAAGGTTGCATGTTGTATCCCCTTATAGAACAGCTGCATATTCCTGCATTGCAGGGGGGTTGGTCTAGATGACCCTTGGGTCCCTTCCAACTCTACAGCTTCCTTATTCTATAGCCTAACTATATTTTAATACGAACAAGCAGTGCATGCTGCTCAAAATCCCACAATTTGCTCATACCCACCTCTCACTGGGAGCAACAAACCACGAGGCTCTTCTCGTTGGCCCGACTCATGGCTCATGGTTTATTTCTACCAAACAACAAACCACTTGCGGTTTGTTTAAGGGGAAGGCCCTCTTACCAGTAGCCACCTGCCCGAGTGCTGAAGATAACAAAGAACCCAGAGAATAGATTCTGGGGAAGACTGTGCTGTTGAACAGTATCTTGGGAAGCATGAAATATTAAGCTGTTGGGATGGAGTTTCTGGTGGAGCTCATGAGTAGTGTTTCACTGGTTGCTCATCCGGAGGGCAAGTGGTGCGGTATGAAAGGGAGGAGTAAAGGAAATGGGGAGGATAACCTCCCCTATCTCTGTTCTTTCTGTTCTGTTTCTCTCAATGCCACCTTGATGGTGGGGATAGCAGTAGGAGTCATAGGAGACAGTTAGCATCCGTGTAGAAAAAGGCAGGGAATCATCTAGGGCGTAAAAGGTTTCCCTCCCAGAGCCCTGAAATCCCTTTTATTCATTGGGTTTTTGTCCTTTCATCAGTTTTATCACTGTATCATAATCATGAGGACTAGGAACCTGCTTCTTTCCATTTAAAGACGGGAGGGTTGCATTCTGATACTTCAGGAAGCTGAAACGAAGCTCCAGATTTGTGGCCCATGTGTTAGTGTTCTTAACATCTTTGCATTGCTAGTGGGGGGGAGGAAGGTGCTGTATGATTTTAAAAGTACAATAACTAATATTGTGCTAAAAGAGGATTTGGGTTTTGTATTAAGCTTTTAATCCTTGAGGTAAGAGAGAACACAAACCGTTCAAGTAGGAGTGCTTAAAAAAAAAGAAAGAGCCAAAACAAGTAATATCCTATGACTAGTGATCCATGTTTTATTTCTCCTCATGCGACCAGTTTTTAAATGATTGTGAAAGTTTGGCTCCATGTGGCTTCCTTGTCTCCTCTAATCCTTTTGGTGTTAGTGTCATTTCACAATTTTTGTCAGTGATCTTTTTCAGGTGGAGTTGTGGTGTATCCTTTTGACTTCTGTAAGCTTCACCCCGCAATTTCCTTTTTTTATTTTGTAAATGCAAAGAAGTGAAAGTACCTGGAATGTTGGTGACTGATTAAAATACATCAATCAGCGTCACTGATGTGTTCAGTACAAAGGGAATGTTTCCAGATTTCACATTTTCTCTTGATGGCACACCTGCAACCCACGTGGAGAACTGTGTTGGTAAACAAACAGGAGGCTGGGGGAATTAGCAATCTTATCATTTTATTTCTTCATTAACCCATCAATTTCTTTTCTACCCCGTCTTTCCGCCAAGGATCTCAAGGTGATGTACATGATTGTAGTCCCACCCACCCCACGGCCTCTGCACTTTATCCTTACAAAATATTTTATTCATTTATTCATTCATTCAGATCAGCCTTTCTCAACCTGTGGGTCCCCAGATGTTGTTGAACTACAAATCCCATCACCCTTAGCAAGCAAGGCCAGAGCTCAGGGATGATGGGAGCTGTAGTCCAAAAACATCTGGGGACCCACAGGTTGAGAACCGCTGATCTAGATTAATATATCCTGCTTTGTAACCCTGAGAGGTGATCAAAGTAGCTTATGAATGATTATCACAAAAAAAGAGCCCCATTCTGGTATCGGGGACAGAAACAACATGGTGTCCCCCATGGCGCCAGCATTTATTCATTTGCTATCCTCATCTGTGTTCCACCCTTACGTTCCCCTTCTGCTTCTCCCTACCAGACAACAGCTTTGACTGATGTTCTCTGAGGCAAGGGAGTGGGGTTCGACAGCTGGAACAACAACCTTGTGAGAGAGGTTAGGCCAGGAGTGGGGAAGCTTTTTGACTCCATGGGCCAGAGCCTAATTAGAATTGGACTCACCAGCCAAATTCGGAAGGTGGGTGGGGTTCCCCACCTGTCAAAAACATGGTGCCATAATGGCATCATAATGGCAAATCCCAAAGTCAGGGCTTCAAAGCACCTTGCATGGTTCTGCGAAAAGGGAAAGGTTCTTCCCTCATTTTAGCAGGTTAAAAAACCCCCTCTGTTCTAGCAAGAGATTCTGATGCCTGCCTTTTCGTGATTCAGGGCTGGGTGGGCTTTGGAATCCCCTGCTAAAAGGGAGCTTTCTATCGTTTTAGTGGGGAATCCCATGCAGGTTTGCATGGACTGGTCTACTAAAATAATGGGGGAAAATGGTGGAATCAGTTTTAGTAGGGGATTGTGGTAGCAAACAGCTTCCTGAATCAATAGGAGGTTAGCCTGAAAGAGTGCTGAACAGAGCAGGATTTAACCCTTGCTCATCAACGAAGAGGCAGCCAATTTAGCTTGATCTACACCGCTTCCTGCAAGTATGCTTTCCTATCCCAAGGGCTTCTTATGACATTTACATTCATAATACTCAGTTGCAGTGGACCAAGGGTTTTGTTTTGGCCTCTTGTGCTAGGTCTTGAGAGATTCGTGACAAACCCTTGCACCTGCTGTTCTCCTGGTGATGTAAGCCCCTGGTTTTCTGTCAATCCTGCCTCTGAGGCGAATGTCCCAAATATTTTTGCATCTTCCTCTGCTCTTACCTGGACTGCTCAACTATGTTCCCAGCACAGCTGCACAAATATACAAGGGTATGAAGTGGCCTCCTGCCAGAATTCTGCAATTCAGTCACGTTATAAAACAGCTTAACGGATTTGGATCGAAGCAGGGCAAGCAGACTTCCCCATCCTGGTGCCCTCCTGGTATTTTGGAATGCAACTCCTGCCAGGCCTAGTCAGCACGGCCCTGCTGGCTGGGCCTGATGGGAGTTATAGTCCAGAACGTCTGGAGAGGCACTAGGTTGAAGAAAGCAGATTTATTTTGCTTTAGTGGAGATGCCAGATGGGGTAGCTGTTAACCTGTTAGGAACGGAGAAACCCAGGGCTTTCAGACCAGTAAATGTCCTGGTACTCATCTGAAAGTGAAACCTGTTTGGAGTAATTGCAAGGCTTGTGGCTGCAGTTCAGTAGATGAGAACAGAAGAATCCTGCTGGATCAGACCAAAGGCCCATCCTAGTCCAGCACTCTGTTCTCACAGTGGCCAGCCAGATTCCTACAGGAAGCCCCTAACCTAAGCAGGACCTAACTGCGGGTTCAAGTTGTTCCTCAACTGAAGTGCCTAGTTTTCCCCCAAACTTGGGTCTCCAGCTGGTTTTGGACTACAGTTCCCATCATCCCTGGCCACTGGTCTTGCTAGCTAGGGATGATGGGAGTTGTAGTCCAAAAACAGCTGGGGACCCAAGTTTGGGAAACGCTGGCCTAGCCTTTAGACTACCCACCTCCAGCACTCTCTTTTGCATGCTGCGATGCCTCACAAACTTTGTTCTAACATCAAAATGTGGAATTCGAACAGTGCACTCTTTCAGGGATGGTCATTAGCCTATCTCGACTTTCTGTTTCCCCAAATCCCTCCCCTGAATTACAGCAGGCAGTAATTCAGCAGGTCATGCGATCTGGAAGTAAGCACCATGGAGGGGCTGGTACAGCTTCTGCTTCTGATTACGTCTGCCATGGCAATTGGTAGCTGGGAGGAGTCTAGAGTCTAAACTGGGGCTGGATCCAGGCATGGTGGGGCAGAGCTTGACTGCTGCTTCCTGTCCTTTCATGGCCTCGGCAATAAATAAAGGTGTGTTAAGGTGTCAACCTGTTAACTTTGCCGTTCCAGCACTTATCTGTCAGTGTGTAATGCCTGATTTAAAAATATGACTCTTCTGGGGAAACCAACAGTGTCAAGGCAGGACTGCAACATTTACAGCAATCAGAATTTAGAGCTGGTTGCAGCTGCTGAGCCCACAGTGTACTGTTGCAAACGTCCTTCGAAACAGCAACAGCAGTGGTTTAGGTCAGGGGTAGGAGTGTGCCCGCCAGATGTTGCAGACTAAAACGCTTATCACCCCCAGGGTGTGTAAAGCAGGGCCATTGAGGGTCTGGGGAAAACAGGGTATGGCTTGGTTAAAACTCTACGCCTGACATAGAGAAGCCTAGATGGCTGCATTTGGGCCCTGGGCCTGACATTCCCCACCCCTGGCTTAAAGTTCTCTAACTGCACTATGCCTTGGTGAGTAATTTAGCAGAATATGGCCAGCCTGCTTTTAAAAAAGAATTATCTCCCCAAGTAGAAGGATAAAAAGGCTGACGTTTTCAAATCTGGGAATTCAAAGTGGAAACCTGAGATAGTCCCGGGGTGAAGGGAGGGTGGGTCTGCAGCCCCGCCCTCCCTCTTTTTACGGTTCTTCAGACCCTCCCTGGCCTAATTCCCTTGCCAAAGATCTCTGGACTCAGATTCCTCATTTCCCATTTTGCTCTTGCCCTGTTTTTCAATTAGGACACAGTGCCTAACCCAGCACAACTGGCACTTTCTCAAAGAAACTGGAAAAACAAGATGCTGCTGCTGCTGCTGGATTGTGTCTAATAAAATGTAATCTGCCCTGGAGCAAATTTAGGTAGCATTCCCTTAATTTTAGTCTGCTTCCAGGAAATTGGCAGGATAGGTTTTTTTTCAGGTTCCTCCCCTTCTTAAAATAAAAATAAAAACGTGTGTGGTGCCTAACTATTGAAAGGGCTAAATTGACAATACAATAACAGTAACAGATAACACTGGTCAACAACAAATTTGTTGTCTGCGTTTTTTCAGCTGATTTAGGATGAATCTGATGCACTGAATCCAAAAATCACATTGGTTTTGCTCAGTCAGGTCAAGTTTTTGAGCTATGGCCACATGTCTTTTTTACGTTTTTGTTCACATGTACGCTTGTATGGAGCATTTTAGAAGAAGTTGGTGGGGGTAAAAGGCCTGGTCAAATAATTGTTTTGATTGGAAATGATTATTTTAATGACAAGAAGTATTCAGGTCTGATAGTTCTGGGTGATTATGTCGAAAAGGGATCAGTTTGAAGTCATAAAACCTCGAAATCTTCCATAAATTGGTCCTGCAAAGCATAAAGTTGGGGGATCAAAACTAAGTTAATGGGGCAGCCGCCCCACGAAGTATCCTGATTTTCAATCAGCACGTCGTCCTGTAGCTCATTGTGATGAAATTCCAGTGCCTATCTTCGGAGAACTTCCTGACATTAGTGACGAAGATGCCTCCAGTGTTGAAGGACATGAAGAAGAAGAAGTGGTTCTTGAAGATGATGCTCCACATCCATTTTCCCAAAAGGAGTTGAATGATCTAGTTCGCGACCTCAGCTTGTCAAAGGACTCTGCCGAACTGTTGGCATCCAGATTGAAGGAAAAAAAACCTCCTCTCTGACAGTGCTCACATCAGCTTCTTGCGCAACAGGCATCAAGAGTACCTCCGTTTTTTCTCGGAAGAGAAGGACTTGGTGTACTGTGCAGATATTGCGCAGCTTCTGCTCAAGCTTGGAGTGCCACAGTATGAACCCAAAGATTGGAGACTGTTCATTGACAGCAGCAAGCGATCACTGAAATGTGTTCTGCTACACAACGGCAACCAGTTTGCCTCTATACCCCTGGCTCACTCGAGTACACTGAAGGAGAACTATGAAGCGGTGAAGTATGTGCTGGAGAAAATTGGTTATGATCAGCATAAGTGGTTTATTTGTGTTGACCTGAAGATGGTGAACTTTTTGTTGGGACAACAGTCTGGCTTCACCAAGTACCCATGTTTTCTGTGCATGTGGGATAGTAGGGACTGTGCTCAGCATTACATGAAGGACTGGCCTGTGCGGGAGGAATTGGTGCCTTGCAAAGAAAGGAACGTCATCAACGACCCTCTGGTGGACAGAGACAGAATACTCTTCCCACCGCTGCACATCAAGCTCGGCTTAATCAAGCAGTTCACCAAGGCTCTGGACAAGGATGGTGACTGCTTCATTTACTTGTGCCAGGCTTTTCCAGGATTGACCATGGAGAAGTTGAAAGCTGGCATCTTTGACGGTCCTCAGATCCATCAGCTCATCAGAGATCCAGAGTTCGGAAACTCAATGAACGAAGTGGAACTGGAAGCGTGGAAGGCATTTGTTCTGGTAGTGAAGAACTTTCTTGGCAACAATAAGGCCAGAAACTACGCAGAACTTGTCAACAACATGCTGACTGCTTTCAGAAACCTGGGCTGCAACATGAGCGTCAAGATGCACTACCTATTTTCACATATGGACCGGTTTCCTGAGAACCTGGGTTCAATGAGTGACGAGCGGGGGAGAGATTCCATCAGGACATGAAAGAGATGGAGACCAGGTATCAGGGTCGCTGGGACGCAGTCATGATGGCTGACTACTGTTGGACTCTGAAGAGAGACCTCCGTGCTGCTGAGCATTCCAGGAGTTCCAAGAAACAGAAGTTCAAGCCCTGAAGTTTGAAAAATGGTGAAGCAACATGCAATTTACGTGTACTTACCTTTATCAATGCCCACCATTCAGTTTACAGAAAACCTGACCTGATGGAGAGAAACGGATGCCATTTCCTGATTCAGCAGTGCAAAAATACCCTAAATCAGTTGTAGAAATCTAGACAACATTCAAAAAGTAAAAAATTGTTGCCCAGTGTAATCTTTATATCCTGCCTTTTCCCCAGACTGGGACTCAAGGCAGCTTACGCATACCCACACACAAAAAAACCACACACACACTGGTATCATTCACATGATTTGGAGGCAGACAGCATGTGCAGAACTTTGTATGTTTGAACTGCCTGGATGTTTAGTAACTGCTATTATTATTTAATTTAGATGCCAGAATGGCTGCTAAGTCGTTTGCAACTATGAAACTGATGCACAATCAAATCAATACATAATTAAGTCAACACGTAATTAAAATACACAATTACAAATCCATTGGGGCATTAACCTATCCTTAATTAAAATTACAATAAAACAAAGAGTAAAACTAAAATAAAATGTTTAAACTGTCAAAACCGTAAAATTGCAGGTTCCGTTCAGGGAAATGCTTGAGTAAACAGGTGAGTCTTCTGGAGCCGGCGGCATGCCAACCCTGATGGGGGGGAGCTCTAGTATTTCAGCGGGGAGGGCATGTCCTGCATTGAGAGCACAAAAGCCAATACCAGGGAATTGTGTCCATGGGAAAGTTTTCTGTTTCTTTCAATAGAATGGATCTGTGCTGTGTTCGTTTGCACAGGGTGATCTACCTGTGGAAGGAAGTCTATGGCCTTTTCTTCTTTTTCTTACAGTGGCTACTCAATGCTCTTAAAATGGGTCAGTGCTTTATCTGAAACTGAACGGTGACACTAGTGAAACGCCAATGGATCATGCCTGGACGCAGGGCTGGATGCTACGAGGAGCAGCTGGCGGTCTTGAAGATCATATTGGAAAGCAGCTTCTCTTCTTCTCCCCGTACATATATATATACCTCTCCTTAATCATGTTGCTTATATCACCCTGTCGGTAATAATATGCTCGTGCTTATAATGTGGGACTTACTTTTCCTTATCTTTCCCTCCTTCCTTTTTTTTAATTCAAAAGCAAATATGCCATCTTATATGCAGTAGGCTTTGAGAGTAGGTTGATGACCCATGTTTCGTTTTGTTTAGCTAGGCTAACATGATACCTTTTTTGTGTGTGTGGCAACTTTCTTACTAAAAGACGCGGTGACCTGTTTACCATAAATGTCTGCAGTCTCCTAACTACATTTTGTTTAGGCTTTGTGTAACCATTGTGTAACTTGTTGCTAGTTTACAACAGCCCCGTCCGCACTGTATGTTTAAAGCAGTACCACCCCACTTTTAAACAGTCATGGCTTCCCCCAAAGAATGCTGGGATATGTAGTTTGTTAAGGGTCCTGAGAATAGGAGTCTCCTAATAACTCTCAGTCCCCTTAACAAACCGCAGTTCCCAGGATTCTTTGGGGGAACTCATGACTGTTTAAAATGGAATGATGCTACTTTAAGTGCATATGGGACCAACATTCTTCTCTCACTAAAAAAGATATCTGTCTCTGTAAGCCAGTCTTTGCCAACCTAACACCCTCCAGATGTGTTGGCATACGGTTTCCACCAGCCCGAGCCAATGGGCTAGTGGGAATTGTAGTGCAAAAGATCTGGAAGGCGCTAGGTCAGTGAAGGCTGTGTTGTCACCTGTGCTTTGGCTCTCTGGGGTAGAATTCCCCTTGGTGCTTCCTGTTTTTTTATAATTATTATTATAAAAATACAAATAAACGGTACAGAACACTAAAGTGATGGGGGAGGATGAGCCATCCTTTTACCCACGATGCCTTAAAATCATGCAAATGTCTTAACATGCCAAATATTCTCAGAGGCCTCCTAGAAGATCCGCCTTGAATTTTTCAGGTACTAATTAGCAACCTTTTCTATCGGAACAGGTTTTGTTTTTCCTCGGTTGAAAGAACAACGGTATTTTCACAATTATTTTATATTGTATCATGACACTAAACGTCCCTTTGCAGTTTTGTAATAAATTGAACAGACACGAGGGGAAGTAAAGCGTGTGGTTTTTTAAATCCTTCTATTTTGGTTCACTAAACAAAATACGTCGGCAGAATCTGTAAAGACCCGGGGATGGGGGACCTATGGCCCTCCGGTTGTGGTTGGACTACAACTCCCATCACCCCTGACCATTGTCCACGCTGGCTGGGGCAGATGGGTGTTGAAGTTCAGCCACATCTGGAGGACCACAGGATACCTACCCCTCTTCCCTCTCCAGCTGCAGTCGCCAGGAAAGTCTCTGACCCCGCTCCCCCAAAATTCGGTTGGTGGGGTGGGGGTGGGGAATGAAAACACAATGCTAGTTAAAGCGTAAGAAGAGCCTGCTGGAGAATGGCCCATCTAGGCCAGGATGCTGTTCTTACAGCGGCCAATCAGATGCCTGTGGGGAACCTGCAAGCAGGCCCCAAACACAAGAGTACTGTACTCTCCTGTCCTGCAGTTTCCAGCAACTGGTTAGGCATGAGTGTGGGGTGTTCAAGTATAAAAGGTAAAGGTAAGGGACCCCTAGGGACGCTGGTGGTGCTGTGGTCTAAACCACTGAGCCTCTTGGGCTTGCCGATCGGAAGGTTGGCGGTTCGAATCTCCGCAACGAAGTGAACTCCCATTGTTCTGTCCCAGCTCCTGCCAACCTAGCAGTTCAAAAGCACGCCAGTGCAAGTAGATAAATAGGTACCGCTCCGGTGGGAAGGTAAAACAGTGTTTCTGTGCGCTGCTCTGGTTTCGGTGTTCCGATGCCCTAGAAGCAGCTTAGTCATGCCGGCCACATGACCCAGAAAAACTGTCTGTGGACAAACGTCGGCTCCCTCAGCCTGTAAAACGAGATGAGCGCCGCAACCTCAGAGTCGTTTACGACTGGACTTAACTGTCAGGGGTCCTTTGCCTTTACCTTTTTAAGGGACCCCTGGATGGTCAAAGTTCAGTCAAAGGCGACTATGGGGTTGCGGCGCTCATCTCGCTTTCAGGGGGAAGGAGCTGGTGTTTGTCCACAGACAGCTTTCCAGGTCATGTGGCCAGCAGGACTAAACCGCTTCCGGCGCAACGGAACACCTTGACGGAAACCAGGGCGCATGGAAATGCCGTTTACCTTCCCGCCACAGCAGTACCCATTTATCTACTTGCACTGGCGTGCTTTTGAACTGCTAGGTTGGCAGGAGCTGGGACAGAGCAATGAAAGCTCACTCCATCGTGTGGATTCAAACTGCCGACCTTCCAACTGGCAAGCCCAAGAGGCTAGGTGGTTTAGACCACAGTGCCACCCGCGTCACTCAAGTATGTACAGTTGTGTCCACAACTCTTTCACTGGTTAGCAAAAACGTTGGTGAGCCCTGATCAAAATAAAACACAAATGTGTAAAAACAAACCCACCTTAAATCCTATTATCATTCTTAGATACTTGCAAGGAAGAGACTGCTGTGCAGCTTTGCAGCAACCTAATTCTGACTTGAAAGTTACTGGGACTGATTCGTATAACAACTTGGCTGGATCAGGCAAAGTGTCAATCTAGTCTAGGGTTACCAGATGTCCCCGTTTCCCGATTTGCAAATAAGTCCCCGGACAAATTCCATCCCTGGAATGTCCCCAGATTTCATCTAATGTCCCCGGGAAACACAGCAGTGGCAGTCTCAGTAGCCCGGAGCAGTTGGCTTGGGCTGGTTTCAGGAGCTGCTCGGAAGTCCCCATATGATGGTGGGGCAGGGGCTCTAAGATGCAGCTTCTGGGCTGCCTCCACCTTCCCTGAGCCCAGCAACTAAACTGTGAAGAAAGGCTTCATGCTGCCTATCGGAGCAGCCTCCCAACTCCTACTTGCGTGCAAGCAGGAGTGGGGCAGGGATCTCTCAGCTGTGAAGGGAGGCTTACGCTGCCTATCAGACCTTGCGTGCAAGCAGAGGGGGCAGGGATCTCTCAGTTAGGCAATGGGAAGCCTCCCTTCCCAGCTGAGGGATCCCCGCCCCCTCCTGCTTGCACACAGGTAGGAATGGGATTGGGGCTGCTCTGATGAGAAGGGAGGCATTGCGCTGCCCGAGCCTCACTGCCGCCGCTCTGGCCCTCCTTCTCCACCTTCCATGCCTGACCCACCACACACCGCTTCGCCACCACCACCACCGAACCAGTAACTCAGGGGCTGCCCAGGCTCATGGAGAAAGGAGATATGAGCCTCGGAGGAAGGGGAAACATGGTTGAGGTCAAGGTGGTGGCCGCCCCTCTGCCACCACCATCACTGCAGCATCAACATCCTGAACGTGTAGTATGTATGTATGTATTTATTTAGTGTCCCTGGATTCATTGAAAAAAAATTGATAACCTTAATCTAGTCCAGCATCGTCTCCCCCTACAATTGGCCAAGCAGATGCCTCTAGGAAGCCCACAAGTAGGCAGCTGGGGCTGGTCCTTGAGGCAAATTGGGCTCTGCCCCACCAACCTCAGCCAGCCCCCACCTGTCTTGCCATCTTCCTTACAACCTGCCCAGAGGGGAGGGAACTGTTTGCTTCCTCCTCTCAAGTTTCAGTGTTGTAGAACTCAGCAAAGAGGAGGAATATGGGGGCAAAACCAGAATTAGTTGGATCTGCCTCTTGCTCCACCTACCATTGGGCTCCCTGGCCTTGCTTCCCACCAGTCCAAATGGGCACCAGCCATCCCTGGAAATGGGATATGCAAGGCAATTGCTCTCCCCTGCTCATTTTGGAAGTGATGGCACCCTTCTGTAGTTTTGCTGCAGCCCAATCCCGTGTTCTGGAGCAAGTCTGTATTCACCAGAGCTTTTTCCCAAATAAATGTGCATAAGGAATACAGTTGTCTTGCTGTGTTTTCATGGGGGAACCCCTTGCAGGGTGTTGGCCCCCCCTCCAGAAATTGAAACTGATGTGGTAGTTTGGGTTGATCTTCGGCATGGATTGCTGATGGGAAAATAAACAAGTCACTGTCTTTGATTACCTAAACACTGAGCATACAAATAGTTCCCTAAAATCCCAGGGAATGTCAATGGGGAATCCATTTCTTAGGTTGCATATGCACCATACATTCAAAGCACATTCCCCTCCTGCAAAGAAAACAGGACAGTAATTTCTTAAGGGTGTTGGGGATTGTAGCCTCTGTGAGGGGTAAACTATAGTTCCCGCATTTCTTCGGGGAGGAGGGATGTGCTTTAAATGTATGGTGTGCATTCAGCCTTTTAAGGGAAGAACTTCAGCCAGGGTCTGAATCAAAGGGTCCATAAAGGCAAGAAAGATATGTAGATTAAAACCATGGACTATCACTGATGAGGAAATGAGCTGTCATTCTCTTCACAGTAATGTAAACTCTTCTAAGCTTCCCATAGACTTGTTTCCTGAGTGCTCTGATTCTGCTTGGTGCTGGTGGTGTTGGCAGGGAAGAGAGGAGGGGATGAGATTTTCTTCCCCGTTGTGCCGTTGGGCCAGGAATTGCTGAGCCATTGCAAATGGCTTAGTAGCCCAGGTCTGACTCACAGGCTTTGCAGCCTCTATCCGAAGGCCCACATCCACACTCTGCATTCAAAGCAGTATCATAGCACTTTAAAAAAAGCATGCCAGGAGCTGGAGTCAGGGGCATGTCAGCAAGAAAATTTCTAGTGTCAGTGAACTCTTTATTCAAAGAAACCCAAACAGACCTAGTGATCACAGCAACTCTTCCCAGTAGGTCTTGCCCAGGCTTCCTCAACTTCAGCCCTCCAGATGTTTTGAGACTACAGTTCCCATCATCCCTGATCACTGGTCCTGCTGGCTAGGGATCATGGGATTTGTAGGCCAAAAACATCTGGAGAGCTGAGGTTGGGGAAGCCTGGTCTTGCCCCGATGAGGCAGTTGCGAGCACTGAAGGTCCCTGCCTTCCCGCTGCTCTCTAAGGCTCCATCCTCAGGTCCTTCCCCAGCAATCTGAAGCTCCTTCATCTTGTCTCTTGTTGCTCTGCCCTCTTCATCTCTCTGCATGTTCTGGGAGACCAGTGGAGATGGGAGCTGGTCACAGCAGGAGGGGGAGATTCCCTGTCTTCTTCAGCAGCCTGCCTCCACTCTGCCTCTTGACCATCCTCTGATTCTGGCCTGCTCTCTGCCCCAGCCTCTTCCTGCTCATTAAAATCCTGTTGCCTCTGCACCTTCTGACACCACCTGTTCCCAGTCTGTTCCCTCTGACCACTCACCGCCATCCAACCACCCCCCCGACTCTGAGCTGTCTTCCCTTGGGGGCTCCCCAGCTGGTGCCTTCCACGTCTACCACTCCTCTGCATCCAGCCAGTCCATGACACATGACTTTCCCCCAAACATCCTGGGAGCATCTGCTTCACCAGCACCTGGTGGTGAAGAAGAAGCCTTTCTCTCTCTCTGGAAACACATGCTAGTGGTGGGCGGGACTAAAACCAGCAGTGGGCAGGACCAAAGCCAAAGTGGGTGGGACTAGAGCAAAAAGTGGGTGGGACAATCCCTTTCCCCCTCTCTTTTTAGCCCTCCCACTCCCCATCTAGCAGCCCGCCAAGAGACGGAAGGATAGCTCTGAAATGATCTCTTGCAGACGTCTTCTGAGATTAAGTCAAGAGCTGCAAATTACCTCTCCCTCTGTCCCGTACTAGAGCGGGTGGCGGTGTGGTCTAAATCACAGAGCCTAGGGCTTGCCGATCAGAAGGTTGATGGTTCGAATCCCCGCAACGGGGTGAGCTCCCGTTGCTCGGTCCCAGCTCCTGCCAACCTAGTATGTCAAAGTGCAAGTAGATAAATAGGTACCGCTCCGGTGGGAAGGTAAACGGTGTTTCCATGCGCTGCTCTGGTTCGCTAGAAGCGGCTTAGTCATGCTGTCCACATGACCCGGAAGCTGTACGCCGGCTCCCTCGGCCAGTAAAGTGAGATGAGCACCACAACCCCAGAGTCGTCCGTGACTGGACTTAACGGTCATGGGTCCCTTTACCTTTACCTGTCCCGTACTAGAGCAGGCATGTCCAAACTTGGCCCTCCAGCTGTTTTGGGACTACAATTCCCATCAACCCT